AAAACGTCGCCGTTGCGGCTTCCGACGATAGAGCCGAGACAGAAATTGTAAGAATCCCTCAAATGAAAGGATCTGTGCAATTATTCTCCAGGGAAGCTGTCCGTTGCCTGCGCAGCTGCGAACAAAGAAGAGTACTTGGCCGACAGACTCATCTCGCGGCACAATCTCGAGCCTTATAGCCGGACGAGAGTCAAAATTCTTTGCCGATCCGAGCTACTTGAATGCATGAGGTCGCGTTAGCTTCCGGCTCTGGTCGATCCCCTCCAAGAAACCCCTCCTTGAGAATGCTTCGAGTGTATTCTCGGGGTCCCGAAAAGAAAGGCTCCGCCAGGGAAGGGTCTCGTGGAAACGCTCGCCCAAGTCGAAGCTTGATTCGGTTGGGGCAGCCTCCTGCTCGGTGATGCACCAGGGGCCCGTTTGACGCTTTCCTATCTCTGTGCCCGGTGAACGCTGATGACGAGCCGATGTTATCCTCGTCAGGATCATGCGAACCTGTATGCGCCCTTGGTTCAGACCCGAGTGGAAGGAGTCGTTACACCGATTGATCGGGTCTTCTCAATAGGGGATAGAGGCACTCGTACTGCGTAGAGCGGAGATGAGTAGTCTAAACGGGGCATGTCAGCTTTCGAGAACGCTTATCGTCTCGACCTGAAGCCCTCGATGCGGCGGAATATGGAGTCTAAATTGTTCCTCTCGTCGTTTTGCTGACTGTCAGACTCTTGGACACGATAGAGCGCTTTTTAATTGCGGAAACGGCTGAGTGATGTCGGAGGGTTTCTGGATCGAAAGGGAACTCGACATCAGTCGATCCTGATTCATTCCCCAGTTCGGTCTAGCGCTGCGAGCGGTGTCTCTCCGGAAGCGAGACAGGGGAACCAAATGTGGTTGAAATTGTCGTACCCCGGAGCTGGCTCGTAATCGTTCGCTGTCGAATGTTCGTTCCCTTCATCGGCACCAAGTCTGCATGGGTTCAATACCTCTCCTGCGCCCACCTACCTAGCTGTTTCTAAGCCCTCGGCTTGAACGCTTTTGTGAATGTACTTCGAGTACCGAGCCATGGACACCGAGAGTGGCTCCCGGAGACGTAAAACCTCGGACCTCGCGATCGTCGAGAGCGGGAAGTTCTTCAAGGATGCCCGAAGCATCCAGGTTCGCTGGGAAGGGCAGCCGTGTAGAGACGATCCTCGGCTTTTTCGTGCTGATAACGCGGGCTGCACTTCAAATAGTCCCCTCGGTTGACTCGATCGATGATGGTCTTTCCGGCGCCACCTATGATTTGCTGAAAACACTTGCGCGCTCCTGGGGACCCGGTCGACTGCGCCGAAGCAGCCCGGTGGGAGCGAGCGTTTACCCCGAACCTTGGCAAGCTTCCCGACGGGGAGCGGCTAGAGTGAGTCTGGCCCAGAGAGGTGAGACGAAAACGAGCTTGCAAAAGTCGCAACCGCCCACAGGAGGTTTGAAGATTAGCATGATTGCCCTCTCCTTATTACATATGCGGACAGACAGCAAGAACCCTCCTACGATAATGCACGACATCCAAATAAGCGAGCGACGTGCGATACAGGGGTTAACACCTTCTCTTATACACACTTTCGTGGACGCAAACGACTATGAGCATACAAGCTTGCGTATCATGCGCTCATCCTAACGTACTCGGACGTGCCGACATCGTCATCGTCGCTGCGCTCACGAACGGACATCAAATAATAGAGGAAAGGATTAGGTAGACGGGCTTCCATCTATTTCGGAAGACGAATTCTCCTGGAGGGAATTGTTCGAAAGCGATGGAATTGATGAAAGAATCGAGATCCTCACCATCTCTGCTCCTACTCCGGGAACCAGAAGACGATAGCTCTCGAAATTTCCAGTGAAAGCTCAATTCTGAGGGAACAAAGGGAAAGAGAGAAGCCGAGTCTCAACGGTAAGAAACTCGAGCGTTGTTACAAATCCTCATTATTCGCACAACTAGGCGAACCCCAAGCCGACCGGTATCGAGACCTTGTCTCCCAACAGCTACAACTGTAGTGTCCAAACGAAGATCCGGATTTTGCCGAGCTGTTCCCCGAGCGTTCCATCGACGCTCCCCCGATGCGAGATAGGCGGGACGAATCGCCCCGGATGGAAGATATCTGCTGCCCGTTTTCAATCGTCGTCGGCACGCGAAAGAGCGCCTCGCAAGCGAATATTCTTCATGGGCGGTCGACTCTCAAACGCTTATGAGGGTTTTGTCCTAATGAAAGGACCCACAATGAGTCCTCCGGCGTTACTATCAATCTTCTTCATTTCCTTCAGCTGAGCTCCACCGTTCTGAGCAAATGATTCGGCGGAACGCAACACATCCAAATCAAGGAGCCACCCGGTGCGAACGCGAGGTCGCGGACCGACCATTCTCCGACGGTCCGCTCGCTCGTTTTCTCTTGCCGCCTCTAAAATGGAGATCCTACCTGTCTCGGAAACATTGCGCTCGACTTTGAAGAAACGGGAAATCGATCCAGCGGAATCGCGGAGATTCTTGGAGAATCAGACTCGAGTGGCAAGATCCCTCGTGAGATAGGAGAGAGGCAGACTCGGGATATTCGTGCTCGCGAATCACCTGACGTGCATGCCAGCATTTTCAGTCTGGCAGCGTTCTCCAGCAAAAAGATGGACGGTGCGAATTTTCTCAATCGAGAACGACCGAATCACTCGACGCACAGCTGGGTGCTCGCGAGATTACATTATTACTTCACCGTGACGTGCTCTAATAGATCTTCCGTGATTGTGATTGTGTACAGGTATTTGTGCTACGCAATACTTGAGACTACAACCGTAATATGAACAGCCACGGCGGGTTGGTCTAGGAAATCTGGATTTAGGCAGTCATCTAGTATGGCCCGCTATCCTGAAATAGACACTAGTACCGATGAGGTTTCTTCTACGGGGTATGAACCTCCTCTTCGCGCGAGAAAAGCTCGCACGAGGGCCGATTCGATCCCCAGATCTGGCTGCGAGGGGAGGGTACACCGCAGAATGCTTAATCTGGGACCACCCGCTGCCTTCCGTGTCGACGTCGCGCGTCGCGTCGCCACGAGCATCTTGACCTGATTAGCATTCTTAATAGCTCCCGCGGTCCATCCTCCCGACCCTAATCTAGAATCCGCCCCGGCCGACGGTACTCATGTCAGATTTCATGGCCCAATGGACCTATCCTGACGCATAAGCCGATGGATAATCTCAAAGGTAACCTGACGAATAGCCGGACGTGTAACCTGGCGAATAGCTCGGCGCCAGAGAGGAGGACTCGAGTTGCATGCCAAGCTCCGTGACTCCAATCTGTCCCCAACAGATACCTAGTCGCGACCGGTGGCCAAGGAGACCAATCTATGGAGTGTGTCTGAATTCTTCGTGGGAAATGGAGGCGATCACGACATTGACGGAAGAATGGTCTTCGCGTTCCGACAACGAATCTGACAAATGACTGTAGATGCTCTTCTCGCCTCCTCTTGCGCTGTTGCCTCGGGGCGAATCAGGGCTTGAAAAGAAGCACTGGCTCTAAATGATACAGCAGCTTATCTCTAGTGTCAAGAAGCGTGCTGCAGAGAGGCTGGTCACGCACACTCCTGACCCTGAAACATGTCGGAGAGGAGTTGTCTCCCGGCCAAAGTTGTCGGTGCGACGAGGCTGTGGTATCGAGCGGAGTGACTCCGAGCTATTTTCTCGGCATCTCACCCCAGTCATTGACTAGGAGGTCTAGGAGTCTCCATTTATGTAGTCTGTTCCCAGAATGGTGATTGTCATTCCAGGGTATCGATTGAAAGAAAAGGAATTATTGCTTATCGTTTAGCCGCCGGAGCTCAGTAGATTGATCTGATCAATGTCATGGCTGTAGCATCCTCCGATGCTTCCTCCTCTTTGACCCGCTTCGGGGAACAGACTCATTCGTATGTTCTTATCTTGACCGGCAGCCAATGAATGTTCAGAGTGGAGGACCGACGTCCAGTCTCATACTTGTCATCGTCGGTGGTTGCAAAAATCCCAGGCGCCGGGTCCCTGTTCTAACCAGATTACGGCTATCCTGTGTCCGCTCTGAGGAAAGCAAATTCAAGCCTGAGACAATTATCCAACATCGGCGGGCCGACCAACTTCCCGAGCGTAACGAAAGACTCCTGGGAGCGAAACGAGTGGAAGAAAGGGAGAATGGACGAGGAAGGACAGGTGAAGTGGTTGCCAGGCGGACCGACGTTGGTTCGTTAGCGGTAGACGAGGATAAGAAGAAACACGTAGCTGTTCATCAGGACCGCTGCCATCATCAGCGCTATCATCATCATCGTGATAGCCGTCATGAACATCCCGCACTTCCTTCTCATTGTCATTACGTGATTATCGACAATCCCTCGTGAATTGTGAGCGACGGCTGGCGCCGACGGAAACATCTGACTCCGGCTTCGCTGGGGTACGGCGCTCCACAGCTCCTCGAAGTCCCTCGCTACCCACCTCTCTCACTCTAATGGAATGTCTGGGAGGGGAGATTTAAAGCTCGCCACGACGACGTCGACTACCACGGCGACGGCAGCAACAACAACGAAAACGACGACGAGAATATCCTAGCTTGATCGCCGCTGGCGGAGCAGGAACATTATACGACAGCAGCCGAACCGCGGTGAACCGACGTTCCTCCCTCGCAGCCACCGAACATACTTTGCGGCCCGTTCGGAGGCGGAGTGGGAATGTGGAAAAATTAGAGCGAAGAGAAAGAGACGGGGAAATGCTCGGCGACTCCCATCCGCGATTTGCGTTGTCCGAGTTTCCTTCCGCCTTTCCCCCTTGTCGCATCGAGCTGAGATAACAAGCGATACAAGGGGCGGGGGTATCATCGTTCATTTTTGAGTCTTTCAGCTTCCTCATGAGCGGCTCCCGTAAACGCCGCTGCACGCTATTCATTGCTTTGAAAGAACATAGCTGGCTCTGAGAATTGATTAGTCAACACTGAACTAATGACGTCTTTTCTATTCGACTTCCAGTCTCGGCAGACCTGGCGTCGAGGTCTTCTTTCAGCATGTGCTCAACTCTGCGGTGGTCCAGTTACAGTTCATTGTCAACGAGGTTAGTGGTGATTGCATAAGTGAATGACTATAAGATTGGCCGTAGCCCGGGTAATCACAGTCTCCGCTTACTTGAGATCAGAAGGCACTGATTTGATTTTCCGATGTCCGAAGACAGCGTATGGTTCTGCTCTGCCGAACATTTATTTATCGGATGGGGAGACAACGCGGCGAGGACTCAGCGTCCCGAGTCGATACGCTTCAATTTATTCCCTCTCCATCGCGGATACCCTGGAGCTTGCCGTCGAAATGTCCGCAATGTCATCTCCAACGTTCTTTAGGGCCGAGAACACCGATACGTCCCGAGCTCCGGATCCACGTCCCGTTCGCGGAGGACGGAGCGGGAAGTCGAAAACAATGATGCGACAGTCGGCCGAAAATGATCGAGGAACAGAGTGTCAGAATCACAAAACCTAGTATCGATGTCGATCGGAGAGAGTTCCCTCACTTCACGGGCATCGAAAACTCATTCGAGTGTCCCGATACTGATTGAGTCCGGCATTTGCATTTGTATTCCCGTCTCCCCTTCTGACTGCTGTAAATGGTCTCCGGTCCGTTGGCCCTCGCCTTGTTCAATATCGTCTCATGGCCAAAGCTCGAGGGGAAAACATGGAAAAACCGAGAAGTGTCCCCGCGCTGCGAGGGAAGGAATCAGAAATCCGGTCCCATCCGATTTTCTTATTCTTCGATTGTGCCCTGCCCAAGGTTGATAGGCCATCAACCTATGTTGTGGGTGAGGAATCGAGGCGAACCTGAACAGAAGAAAACTCCTCCGCGACCGGAGGAACGGGCGCCTGAAAAAGCGAGTGTTATCCGATGAATGTCCGCCGAGGCATTTGGCCGACTTCAGGAATGAACCCCTCCTGAAGGTATTACAGCGAACGTACTACGCGGCGTTATGTAGAAGTCAGTCTTTCAGCGGGAGTGGAGAGCATGCGGCTGCGGCGGGGACCTCCCACGTTTATTCACGACGGAGAGAGCGCGGCGAGTGTGGTGACATGTCCGTAGCCCAGGCTCCTCTCCAGCTTCAACGGAACCCTTTGGTCCTGCGGTCGAATCCACGCGATTCTCTGACTCCCACGGACTATTCTCGACACTTCCGGAAGAACACTGCTCCATTCTCCCTACGCTCGGAATAATCTCCCTGGGGACGCCGACCTTTGGACCTACATCTGAGTTGGTGTACATACCTATGTGCTCGCCGCGTGTACTTTCGATTTCCTCGCTTTTCCTCCACTATCGGGGAGCGTTATCGACTTGGGGTTTTGTTGGGACCCTGGCTCCGGCAGGAAAATCAAGCCTGAGGCTATGCGAGAACGCTTTCTTTATCGACTAGAAGCCTATATAATTCTCGAGAAGCCGAGGTGATCCTTCATTCATCTCATCGATTGGATTCCTTCAGGGGAACGCCATGAAGTCAGAAAGGCTCAGGAGATGCCGTCGATTGCGATCTAATTACGCTGATCTGCCGCTATGAAACCCAAAAACCCGCCGATCGACAAGCCGGAGATACTGTGTTGCCAATAACGTGACTTGCACATCCGGGGGTCGAACGATGATTTCACATCGTGATTTTCGTGTAATGGAAAGAGGACGTCGGTCTCCCATTTAGGAATATTCGGATCCTGACGTTCGCCGACGATTCCGGGCCACAAATCGGGATTGAGATGCTTTTGGAACTCCTCGCTCCTTGCGAGCCTCCGAAACAGAAGTCCGAGGAACGTCCAAGAGAAAGCAGCGTTCCACAGGGTGAAGGGTCGGGCCCGTGAGGAGCGAAGTTCGGGTACAAGCGCACTTGCACACTTCATACACGAGAGAGCATCGAACACATCAAGTCTCGGAAACTGTCCCTCTTGACCCAGTGAAGCGGACTAAAAAGGAATGAGTGGACGAAAGGCGAACAGGCGGAGCATCGAAAGAAGCACCCACCGAGCTGGAGGCTTGGATTTCAATGGAACACACAATAAACTTGCCAATTTAGGCCTTTTTTTCCTACCACTGTTCTTCTGTTGTCCGCTTCTTCTGTCAGGCAGTCCGTCGCGTGCAAAGGAACACTTTGTGCCGCGGTCTTCCATTCATCAGACACAATTAGCTTCTACCCGGGGTCTACGGGCAGACTTCGCTGGTGGAAGGCTGAAACCGCTGCGCTTGTGGTCGCAGCTTGGTCGCGGAGTTCCAGTCGTTGCTTTGTACGCCTCGCTCCTTTATTGGAGGCACGGACTGCGCAGCTAACTCTAGCCATCCCGGCGAGAACCGACTGAGTGAGACAACTATCAGATGTAAAAAACGGCGAGACGCATTGGGAATCGATTCCGAGAGAAGCTGCTGCTGCTGCCGCCAGCGACTACTTTCTCTGGAACAGGAGACAAAAATATCTGGCTGCGGTCAGTGCCGAACGTCTACTTGAACGCCTCCAACGTGTTCAAATTGCTTTCGCGGGCAACGGACATCTTTCGGAATTATTTATAGACTACTGAACTTGACCAGCCGCAGGCCCTGCAGTCCGCGCACACGGCTCCGACGTACCCAGATCCTCATCGAGATAGCGGGTCTGCAGGGGAATCGATCCGACAAGCGAATCGACTTACGAGGTGATCAGCGATCACAGACCAACGTCGCGACCTCTTGATACGTAAGCGACCGTTAAGTAGACCGTAAGCTCGACTTCTGTCTCCGCAGGATAACAAGATGCAATAATGCAACAATCCTTACTGACGGTGAGATAACGCGGCCGCTGCGAGAATCGCCGAGTCAGTTCTTGTTTCCTGTTTGGCTCGACAGGCTCGACACGATGGCCCAGAGGACAAATGAACAAGGTCGAGGGACGAATTTATTGTGTTTTGCCTCATCTAAACCTACCGACACTTGGCACGGAAAGAGGAGTTCGTGACTTCTTGGGGAAACGGGTCCCGGAGTCGAAAATCACGAAGCTCCGTTCGGGAGCCCCCCATTCCTACAGAAAAGCATAAGATGAAATAGACCGGGGGAAATTCGCCTCAGCGATAAGATGAACCTCGACGCATGAGCGAGGGAACTCGACCCGCCCGTGAGATACTCCGGGACTGGGAGACTTGAAAAACTCCCTACACGGCGACTCGCTGCTGGGGAGAGATTTTCTCGCTCTCTACGCGAATTCAAGGGGACCGGAATGGGGAAGGGGAACATCCCACCGAGCTCTATTCCACGGAGCTCTGCGGCACGCCCGGAATACTTTGGGGAGTCGCTAGGTGCTCGCGAAGTCGGCAGCGACCATCGCAATCATAGGAATAGAATAGTCGTCGACAACGACAAAATATAAATTCCACCTGCTATCTGTCTGCGGCACTCGAAGGCCGTAAGGTAAACACAACAGGTGGCCGAGATGCTGCCCCAGTCTAAATTTAGAGCGAGCCTCGAAGTCGCGAGGAATACCGACAGGGGGTAATCTGAACTTCTGCTTCAGACAGAAGCACCCGAAGGTCGGACGAACTCCTGCGGAAGCTACGCCAGTGCTCTTTCCACGCTAATTTGTATGCAAATCTATCTCAATCGTCGCCTTCCTTGTCGGAATAGCAGCCGCAGGGCTGACATGACCGATTATCAGAGAAATGCAGGGCCCGACAATAAATGATGATGATAGTTATGTTGCTGACAAATTCTCAATCCTCTCGACGCTCTCGATTCCAGGGCCTACTGTTGAGTTTGTGCGCCGACGATTCGGTCCACCAATGGAACATCAAAACTCAAACACCCGAAGTCGTTCACACGCTCAAGTTCCAAAAGGAGCGCATCACTTATATGTACTTGCCGTTTCAAAGCAAATGGCTTTATCTTGGAACTGAAGGAGGCAACGTGCATCTAGTCAATGTTGACACCTTTTCCCTATCCGGATATGTCATCAACTGGAATAAAGCCATCGAAATGTGAGTAACTATGTTTAGGTAGTGCCGAGCGCTGCGCGTGTGGTCCCCAGTATGATTGAAGGAGCTCTATGATGTGCTTTCGGCATATTCATTTCGCGGTGAGGCTGAATCAAGGATCAGGATCCATATTGTGCTCGTCAAATGAGCTCGAACCTCGGAGCCGGTCTACTACATACCGCGTGACGCGAACACTCAACCCAAACTGAATTGATGTCAAGTGGGCAACCGTGGGGCTTGTATGCGGCCAGGCTCGAGTTCGCGCTGGATTCGCCAACACGGGTGGCGTACGTAGTCAAAGCATCTCGCCCACTACAAAGCCGGTTTTCTGTCGGCTGGGCGTGCCACCCCATATAGACACCGACTTCTGGTTGGTCGCTCCGAGGAACGACCGATCGACAGACAGTTCGGCCAGCTAGCGTGCATCGCTGCTCTGAAGTAAATGAGCTCGCAGTGGAGTGGTCTAACGGCTGAAGGTGACGTGTAGAGAGTGACGTGATTGAAGACTGCGGCGCTCAGCCGCTCCTGTTCGTGTCGCGGGGGTCGGCGTTGCGTTCGGATGTTTGCAGTTAACCACCGCGAACCCGTCCGATGAGCATACTTCCGTGCCCTGCTACCCTCTTCGAAGCGCTTCCAGGTTCCCCGTTCTCCCCGATAGATGTGATGACCTTGTCACCGGCGAGAAAACTCATTCGAGCTATGGATCTTCGATTCTAACGAGCTCATTTGGATTTTGCAGAACCCGCAAGACGAAACCCGGCGCAGTTGTGCATCTCTGTGAGAATCCAGCAGACCCTAACAAGCTGCTCATAGCATTTGAGACGGGTACCATCGTCCTGTGGGATCTCCGCAGCCGAATGGCTGAGGTTCGCTTCCAGCACAACGAACCTCTGTCATCAGTATCTTGGCATTTTGAGGGTAAACAGTTTCTGGCGTCTCACGCGGATGGGAGTCTTACAGTTTTCAACATCAGGAATCCAGGCAAACCTCTGAGTGTTATGTATCCACACTTGCGCCTTCTGATGGAACTGAATCCCGAGCTTAGCGCGGTGCCGACCTGCTTAAAAGGCTTTTTTCACCCCATTTCCAAAGTGCAGTGGTGGGCCACCCGAGCTGGAGATAACTTAGTACTCTTTTCCGGTGAGTAGATCCCCGGGAGGTTGAACGGTCTCATCGTTCCACCACAATCAGCAGGGGCCGACTCACGGTGTCGTTCTTTGTTTCTTTCTCTGCAGGAGGTGCGCCTCTGGGTGTTGACAAAAACGGACGGGAAATGGTCGGCGCGAGTGTTTCAAACTTGCAACGGGCTCAACTACTACAAATGGAGAGCCAGGTTGTCGACTTTGTCACAGCGCACGAATCACCATTCTCATCCGACACTACTGAACCATATGCCCTTGTGACTCTCTGCAAAAATGATTTGATCGTTGTGGATTTGCTCACGCATCCGTGAGTATCGTTATGCTATCCATGGATAGTCACAGTTATATTTATTGATTTAATTTAATTTTGATCTACTTGCGGACGTCTGGTGCTAATTCAAAGTTTAATATCCTAATTATTCCTCTTCGAAGGTACCCGAATTTCCGGTTGCCCTATTCGATGAACATCCATGAGAGTCCTGTCGTATGCTGTCAGTACCTGGCCGATTGTCCCGGCGACTTGATACCATGTTTTTATTCGGTGGGACAATTCTTCGGCGCAAAAGCAACCAATATGTCGTCAACAAATATTAAGTTCTCGGAACGAGAGTGGCCCATCACAGGCGGGGAATGGGGAACAAGTATTGTTTCATATCCCGAAATCATAATCACAGGCCACGCGGATGGTACCGTGAGATTCTGGGATTCATCTACTTTGGGCTTCCAGGTTTGTGTCCGGCGAGCGATCCAATATTTTATTATGTGAACAAAGAGATCAATTAGATACTCTTCTATTATGCATTATCAGCTCGGAGCTCTGAGCTCGGAGATGTAAAGTGGAAATTTGCTTATCTTCATATTTTCTTCGACAGCTCCTATACCGGTTCAGAACCTCGCGGCTTTTTGAGAAGCTCGTATCAGACGATGATCCATTTGCTGTGGAGAAACTTTTTTTCGATCCAGAAGGGCGTCAACTCGGTATCGCCGGCGCCTCGTACGTGGCGTTGTTTTCGTTCGCAAAAACCGAGAACACCTGCAACGTTGCAGGTGAGACTCATAATCAGCCGCGTGGCAATCTTCTTTCAGGAGGGGTCTTCCCGAGCGAGACAAACAGCGGGTGTCGAGGCGCGAAGGAAGAAATACTTTCACCTCGGATGATCGAAATTCCTCGTTCTGGGTGCGGAAAACCGGTGGGGCTTCCTTTCGTTGTCGTGCGGTCTCGAACTAGCCACCAAAAGAACGATTTGTCGGAGTCTATCGCAAGTGTTTTCCCGGGACGCGCTCCCGGAACGGGAGCGAGACACGCATTCTGAACTCTCCTAGGGCCGCGCTCGCAAGGTCCGCCGGCCCGGCGAGTTTCATTTGTACCCGAGGATGGTTGGGTCCAGGGGACGGGGAAAGCGGGATGATCAATTGAACGAGGAACAGCTTGGTTTCCCGATCGAGTTGAGTGGTGTCGCCGTGCGGATGCAAGAACACGTTCCGCGACCATATGTCAGCGCCGAATCAAACGCTCTGTACGTGCTTGTTTTGCAGTTCTCGATACTCCGATCCACTTCGAGATGGAGGAATCCTCCGAAGTATCCCCGAAGTCCAACGAACGCGTCACGGTCCGTCGTGAAGCTTTAACCTGGAGAGCCGGTCTACAGCCTACATTGGTTTGCCAGTTTCTCTCCGGCGGCACTCCTGCCGGTGGAGAGTCGGCCCGTCATGTGACCTGCATGGCGGTCAGTTCTGCGTACAATCTGTTGGCATTCGGCAATGATTTGGGTCTGGTGGTCGTCGATACGATCCACAACACGTGCGTGCTCAACTTTGCCACGCCCGAACTCTATGGTAAGTTTCGATTCCGTTTGGTCACATGTTTTCCTGTTTACTTGCCCTAGCTGTTTCCACATCAATGGACAATCTCAGTCAAGATTTTCGCATATGGGGAGGCAGTGTCGCGTCTCTGGTGAGTCGGCGCAACAAAATCTTCTTCCGGCGTGGACGAGCGCTTGGAATAAGGCGTCTTGGCGCGGCATTGTTCTCGCGTCCGTCTCCGTCTCCAGAACGCCCATACCAGGCACTCTCGGCCCGAATGTCGTTCGATTCTGACTTCAAATGATGATCTCTCCGGTTGTAAAAGTGTGCGTCCGGCTACACCGCCTGCATCGATCCCATCGGAGAGATCAGTGATTTCCTCAAGTACTCTCCACTGCGAGAAGCTCAGAGGAACGATTTGCTGTCGACCTGGGCGTTCGCTGATTGAGGGATTAACCACCAAACCCTAAAAACGTCATCTTGCAGATTTTCAATTGACAATTAATTATCGAGCAAAGCGGGCCAGTTCAAGACCTTTGCGCTTTACCTTTACCCGGCACAGTCTGCTAGACTCTCTCAGAAGTTCTCTACGTTTTCGTCGCTCGAGTCATTTCTCGTCCCTGAGCTCCCGATCACGCAAACGACTCAGTCGTCTGCGTCGCTTCAAACGCTTTTCGTTTCGATCTACGAATCCGAGTTATCCCGAATTCAACCTGAACTCGTTTCGTGGCTCCACAGACCCCGCTAAGACCATCACAGCCACCACCTCCACCCCACAGTCCCCCGTTTCTTCTCTCACCCATGACGACGACACCACTCGAAAGTCTTCGCCTCCTCCTCCTCCTCCACCTCCTCCTCCGAACGATGGACTCGATCCTATCGACTCGGCGATTGACGATGCTGACGATGAACGTCGAGCCGCTGCTCAACCGAGGGTAGGGCAGCCGGTTCTCAGCACCGCAATCGGTGCAAATAGCGCCGAGGAACCACTACGGCCTCCCAAAGATCCGATCCCGGACAGACCAAATGACAAGGGGTCGGCCAAGAGCTGTAGGCCGGAAGCGCTGCGTCGGGGAACCTCAATACAGGAGACGATAGCGGACGCCTGCAAGCGAACTTTGCAACGAATGCTATCCTCACCGACGAGTAAGGATGAATCGCCATCGCTGATCTCTTCCGCTGATTGACTAACTCACCCTGCCCTCGATTCAAATGCTATGGGCTTCCAGGAAGAGCTGCTCGACGACGCTGAGTAGATCTTGATCCGGGGGAATCCAATCGCTTCCGATCCTGGGGAAAAATCCACGCATTGCAATAATTGGAAAAAAGATCCGCCGCTCTTCCCCCTCGTCGCGCTCTCCCTGGAACACCATTCGCATGTCTCTAATTGGTTATTATCGGCCTCTTGTGGCGTCACTGTTCTTCCGATGAGAGCCGCTGATGCTCCTCATGCGCTGTTCATCTTTCGAGCCTCAAATGCCGGGCTTTTGAATCTAATACCAGCTCTTGACTTCTCGCGATGGTCGATTTCTTTGCCGTCTGATCGCTGATCTTCGGATACGCTTTGCTAACCAAGCCTTCGAACCTTCGAATACGTACTAACGAATAAGCTGCATCGGGCGTCTTCCGGAGCGAAGCTGCTTGGAGACTTCTGCTGGTCTGGGCAACTTCCACGCGAACTAATTGATTGACGGCTGTTTCCCGATTAACTGAGGGGGGATCCACGAGTGCTTGTCTGTCGAACGATTTTCGGGAGCCCGCACTTACCTCGGGAGTGGTCTCGGAGAGTCAGGCTTCTCCCAATAACGGGAAGATTCTCACTTCTCTCACAACTATCGATTGCGCATCGATCCATACGTAACATTTTTCCGGGAGGGACTCTTCTCTTGACTCGCAGACGGCTTCCTACGGGGTCTGGCGAATTGTAATCAGCCAAGCTTCTCGGTTTTCAGGATCTTCTGACCCCTACCAGAGATCCCCGCGATCCCCCAAACGGCAGGACAACAACGGTCTACCGGATCCGACAGAAAGTTCTCCAGACCAGGTCAGTTGGCTGCGGGTCCCCGGATTTGAATCCCCTCTCCCTGTTGTAAAACAAGAGACCGGTAGTTGGATGTATTAAAGAAGCGTGGGAGCGCTGCCGAATCGCGTTCGGATCGGCCGGGAAGGCATCATTCGGGATCTGCGAAAGGAACATTTGATTTTGGGGTCCATCTGTTGTTCGGAGCAGCCTCCGTAGGTCGCTCCTTTCTCTCAACTTTTGGTTCCGTTTTCGGAGAACTCGAGAACGCTTCATCACTCGGAGAGTTTTTATTTCATTTGTGGCGCTATAGGAGATATATCTCTGGGATCAGCGATCCGATACAGGTTCGAGGGCAGACGCTCTATCTATCCCTCGACGGCTCCCCAGCTCGCCTGTCCGGAGAACCGAGCGGTCGATTTTTCTGGCCGACAAAGATTTGACTCCCTACTGGCTGAGGAGGATCGAGCGTCGGTAGGGCTCCAGGAAGCCGTCGCCCTTTTTCTTCCTCCTCCGACAACCCTCGGAATATGACGCCATATTGGGGTCCTCCAAGGGAATACAGGAGGAAGCGACGGAGAGCTGAATGCTTGCAGCGGTCCCTCTACATCAAATGCAGATCTGCAGTGACTACACCGACGTTGTTTCGGGCAGTCAGCGGATGGCGGTTCCAGCGGCTGGCTACGTCGAGAGTGGTTTTCGTTCTCTCCGGGCGAAAACCGTGGTTGATTCCTTGCGGGGCCGCGCAACAGGCCGCTGAGGCCTCCGGCGGTGGGGGTAGGCCGGTGTCAGCGAGGGAAGTATGATATGAAGAAAATAAGTGGGAGAGAATGTAGGATGTAATCATTCAGGGACTGACAAACCGCACACTCAACCGAAAATTCTGAAATGTCCGTGACCGGCCGACTTTGTCAGGGTGACAAGACAAGCACGGATATACCCACATATCTAGACCCCGGGGATGAGCGTATGACGTGCGACGCACCCGTCGGTCTTCTAAATGGATGCCCTCGAACCTGCAAGATGTATCAAAAATCAGAAGCTCCCATGACTTCTTTTACGTCGCGAACGGGGCTGAGTCCGGCTAAGATGACATTTTTTTCCCAACTTGAAGAGCGACCTTGAAATTTTGGAACGTCCTTGAGTTTATGGTTTATTATTCCGGCGAGATTGTGACGAAACCCTTCTAGAGTCTCGGATTGCACCGTAACTTTCGGGATGCCCTTGAGCTTCTCGAGAGCTGGAGAACGCATTCAATGCTGTAAAACTCCCTGAACAGGGAGCTCACTCGGTGTCCCAAAGTGAAGAAAAGTACGCCGCGCCTTCGAAAACAGGGAATGAGCGTGGAGTCGACGCTCTTTCTGGCTCGTTGTGGGAACCTAGATTCGCGACATTATTCTGATCAGAAAGGGGAATCCCAGCAGTGGGAAGCATTTCACGGACCAAATCTAACCAAACCAATTCAACTTTCTCGACATTCGCCTCGGTAATCCCCGAAACTCCTGGTTAACGAGATCCGGTTGCATTGCAGCGAGCAGGTAACTAGTCGATCATAGCTACTACATCGATGTATCATTTCTCATTCTCATACCGAGTTCTTTGCCTATGCGGTGGCGGTGTCCTCCTTTCTGGCTTTGATTGATTGCGTCGATTCGTTGATTTGATGTGCCCTTTTCTCACCTACTTCAATGTACCGTACTCTCATGTCCAACTCCCCATATTTTCTTCCTCGATCTGATTGTCGTACATGTCGATGTTTCTGTTTTCGATGTTGTCGCGATCCATGTTCCACACCGGGATCCCACTGACCCCCGGATCATTTTTCCCCGTCTCGTTACGACTTCTGGTCACTTTCGACGGATCGTCTGTTCTGAATAATTTTGTGATGATGATTATTATGATGATCATGCCAATGATTATGATTGATGAACTCCTCCCCCCGTCCATGACACCACCTCCGCCGGGCGTTTTTTTTCCTTTCTGGATTTTCGTTGTCCAACGAATCACCACGCAACAACAACGAAACAACAACGAAACGAAATCACGCAACGAAAACAACATCAGTCGACAAGTGTGAGCCCGACAACACTGAAGCCGCAACGGCATTTTCTCGACCGGCGATCCAAGTCTATGCAAACACCACAGTCAGGGGGCACAGGCTCTGGCACGTTGTCTGCTTCCCATCAGCAACTGACCACGATGTCGAGCCTGGGTGCGGAGCGATATCCTGGCCGAAAGATGTTACAGAAGCACCCCAATCTCGCGTCTCAAGACGAGCCTCCGCAGTTTTTACTTCCGACCGCCGCGTCCTCCTCTACAGGTGACTACGGCTCTGAAGAAAAGAGCAGAGTGGCGATCCTTCCAGAAGTTATCGAAGCAGCTTGATTGATTTCCGAACCGTTTTCTGTACTGCGCAAAATACTGTCCTCCTCGCCGGTTGGTCGAAGCGGAGCGATATATCGAAAGCCGATGCAGGGATGAATCAAACGATCGTTCCTCGAGCGTGCGAGTGATCCTACGGCTTGATCTATCGACGCTACCAACCGGATCAATCAATACGATCAAAAAGGAGAGATGATAAATCGAGCAAGCAAACCAGCAGCAAGCAAACCGAACACCGATTGCCGTGCAATGCTTCTAAAAAAATGTCCGTGATGGTCCTCTATGATCCACCATGCTGCTTTTGCGTGGGTCATCTAATCTGAATTGCCTTCGAATCCTTGTTCTCCGGGACTCCTATCAATGCATTCCTTGTCACCTCTTTAGCCTTTTATCTTCTCGCCTCTCTGTAATGCGGACGACTCACTGCCTCACTACTCGAATATCCAATTATTGCCTCTACCTCTCGACTAGATTCTTTCTCTCCTGTCCGAACGAATGTACCCCCTATGTGATGATTGCTCCGCGTCATGATAGAATCCTACTCGATCGAAGCCCCCTCCATCGAGTTTTCATCAAAAACACATCGGGTCGTTTTGATGAAAAATAAAGAGCTATTGTACCCAAATTCGATTCACAGTCGAGTTACAAGAGGTAGCCAATCGCTGTTCTTCGAGATAGAGAATCCAAGCTCATCAACCGGTTCGCGTCATTTGCATCGGTTGGCATTCGTTTCCGGTATACCGAACTAAAGAAAAACAGTGGAGTTTCTGCTCCAGAGCCCACGCTCCGCATTTTTGGGTCTCTCCTGCCGCGAGGGGCCAGAGGAACGGAGGGGTCGTTCCCTCTCCACCGATCGGATGTCCAAGATAATCAGGACTTTGCCTTTTCCTTTTACCTGTGGAAAGCCTACGTGGGGCTCGACGCCTGGAACTGCCAAGTTACCGAACCCCGTGTAGATTCCAACCCGTAGAGGACCGATTCCGCTCCGGAAGAAGGGGCAAGGAGGCTATGTGAACAATTTAGGTCCGGTTTTCCGCTATCATGATGTGAAGAGCGCCCGGGGTTGTCCCTTCCATCCTCTTTGGTTCTCTATCGGTCGATGCGATCGTCATATCTCGGGAGATGGTCGATACCCCGAGAATATCGAGCGAAATCAGATCTCGAGTGTGACCTCGATCCAAGGTCGGATCGGGCTTGTTCAATCCTATTTGCCCGCTATATTCGGACTGTCCCTTTCATTGATGAGCCATGTCCGCTATTCACTCCCTGGTTCACCCCTTCAACGACTCGATACGACTCGAGACTTCATCTCCCCGTATATCCATTCATTTCCAGGGCTTTTCGTCTCTTTATGAGCTGTCCGCGCTACGATCACTGACCTATTCTTCCGTGACCTGCCGCTAGGTTAGGACGCGACCGTCCCGAGCCATGTAGCCGGAAAAGTCAGCCAGACGCACGGTCGTGAGGCAGAAAGCTCCTGAAGGAGACGAATGACAAGGGAGGAGACGAGCTGTCGTCAAGATGCGGACGAAACGAGAATCAAATGGCGGAAATTTAAACGAAAACTCGCCCATTCGATTTCTCGGCTGTTGGCCCTATATCCCTCTGACTCCTGTACGCTCATCTTTTGTGAGCTGTTCGATCGCCGTCGTCCGACGCTCAAATCGATGTCCGGCTCCCGGTCCTCTTCGCTCGTTCCCCGCCGCCACCGGGGTCCTACGTGTCTCGTCCATACCACATGGATCAGAGCCGGAGTGATAGCTGGGCTTTCTAGGCCTGGCAGGCAAGTACCACCCTCCTACCCACCCACTAACTGTGGACCTGTCGACATATAGGCGCATCCCTTTGAGGGCTCTCAACTCCTCCGACCTACTCCGCCGGGGGAATCTCCTAATTCTCGGCTCATTCCGCCGAGGCTATTCCATCCCGAAATCTTTTCCGGGACCTCCCGAATCGTGTGCTGACTGCTTTGCCGAGCGTTCCCTCGCGATTCACCGAGGAATGCTCTCGACACGAGGTACAAATTATTATAGAGTGACATGCAATGTCTCGCGGGACATGTTCCCCTGAGCGGCAGCAGGATCCGATTCCGTGCGGCCTCAAATGCATGTGTACGAAGTTCCTTTCCGCTTCTCCGCGCGAAAATTCTCGATGCGGTTCTTTATCCACTCTTTCGCGAGCGCTCAGCCGGAGATCGGTTGACTGCGTGGTCTCATTGGGACGAGGGATGTAGTGCGTCGAGTTTCTCGGCGAATCGAAAAGGTCTCCTAGCTGTGTTGTGTCATCCTGAACTATTCCTAGCTAGCGCTCTCCCTACAGGGCCAAGCCACAACTTGGGCCTCTCTACCCAGATCCGACTTCCCGTCGTACCCATGTAGGTCTTCATGTTTAAAACGACTTGAGATTTTCGGAGAGAAAACAATATCCTACGATTGAAGAGTCGTGCGATGCTGCGGACGAGAGTCGGCGCTGAGGTTTGCGGAAACCTCATCGGCGAAATCCTCAGGATAAACCGCTCTTAAAATGATTGACAAAATTTTCTAAACGGGCACACTGTAATCACTCTCCATGCTTGATAACGATTGACGCACCCTAACTAAAAGAAAGAAAAACCTACAACCAATCAACCGACCAATCAACCAACCCACCCACACCTCCGAAACGAATCATCCTCATCTTCATCAATTTGCATCACTAATAATTATGAAATGCCTTGAGGAATCACCCACCCTCTCTTCAGTTGCTTTTTCTCTCGCATAGAGAAAAAGCTCCTCTTTCTATCTCTGTTTGTTCTTTCTCGCGGCTGATATCGCTGCTTGCGCAGCCAGAGTAGAGTGGCGAGCACATAGATACGCTATAAATTCATAAACTTCATTTTCTTAACGGAGTTTGCGTTTGCATGTGTTTTGCTGCCTGACCGATTCGGTGCCTGTCTTCTACACGATCTTCTCTTAAAAACGTCTCCAAAGCCGCCGAAAATCGACGCGGTCGAATCGAGAACAGAAGCTGTAAGGCGTCTCTGCGTAGTCCGACGAGCCTCTCTGGGAGAGGCTTATCGACTCGTTCGTCGCTCTTCTGCTGCTGTTCTTCTATTTGGCGTCGTTTGAGCGGTAGACACCCAGAGACTGACTACTCAGTCACTACAACAGCATCGACGACAGCAACCTCATGTTCTACTACCACAGCAACGACTCACTATTCCACTGTTGCTGCTAGTGCTGCTGGCTTCAATTTAGGCAACGCTGCATCGACTCTCCCAGAGGAACATCCGATTTCTACTTTCAAGAGGAAGCCGTCGAAAAGACTTCTCCTACCTGGTGGGCGGTTCTCCGTTTGACTCTTTCTCCGATGTTTCCTCTATTGAATTTCTCTTCATCCCTTCCGCAAGAGAGCAGAATCATGCCCAAGTCCGACGCCCCCCGCTCCATCCATGTCCCCCAACAAACCGCGGTGTTCCACATTTCACCTGTGTTCTCCGATCCCGTTCAGGTTCCGCCAACTCAAAAGCCAGTATCTTTCCTCCGATCTGAATCGTCTCTTCTTGGACCAGGATCTCCCTGCGTCCGACTTGTTTGGAATAGACATTCCGAGCACTATTCCTCGCGTTTCCCTATTGAGCAAAGAAGCTCTTAACAACGAACTATACGAACTATTTATTTTCGCTCTAATGTTTTGAGGGAAGTTTCCTCAAAGACTAAATGTCAGCAGCGTGTTCGTTGTCATTAGCTCCTGATGTGATCCCTCGTGTGCACAAGTATTCTTCCGTGAGAGTCTTTGTGGCGTTGCCTCGCTTCTTCCTTAAATTGATTTTCATTATCCCCGTCCGGCCCATGATGATGCACTCAAAGAGGGCTCATCAAGGCGGAACAAAGAGCAGAAATTAGAAACGGGTATCCGATTCTTGTCGACTAACTTCCTGTACCGTACATCGTAGATTGCTCGTTTTCGCGGTCTCGCTCGTCGTCGACATCGAGCTTGGAGAATGTTTCCCGAGAATCAATCACGTGTCTCACTTTCTGTGACACGTTCTGCTCGAAGAAAAGTGATGCTTCATCGCCGAGTCCTTCGCTATGGGTAGGGACCAGTTACGGTTCTGTTTTACCTTTACCACTTAACCTCGCCAACGAAACTCGCTCGGCTCTCGCCACTCCTGGAACAGGTAGGTTCGATCCCGGAGAACGCTCTTCCCTGACACACAGCCACATGACTTCGCCGAATGAGAGTCGAGCTTCTAGGTCGCTGCGTTTTCAGGATCATTGTTCAAGCTTAAGGGCCGAGTGCTCTGCATCGGATTTGTGGACAGCAATGGCGCGCAACTCGTCTCCGATGGTGGTCGCTTGCGGTCCGCAAACGGCTCTAAAACTCCTACAGGCGGACATTTCGCCGTCCTTGTGAGTGAAAAACTTGCCCGCGTTGCAAGCCTTCCCTCCCAGAATACGATCGTCAAGACGACTCTCAACGAAACCTCCGTTGTGGTCTGCGCCGACATCACGCAGCTCAAACAATGCGGTCAGTGCTCACTCCCCTCACTTTACTACGTTGCGGTGTAGCAGCTTCAACCGATTCGGGCTCCTTTTGGAACTCGCTCTCGGAACTCCCGCACACATCTTTCGGGAGCAAACGGCTCTTCCCGGAAGTCGTCGAAAACTTAACAAGATTCCGATTCGAATTTCACAGAGGTGCCGTGCTTGGTGTCGTACATTGCAAACGGCAACATCATGGTGCACAGTTTGCCATCGCTGAAGTTCGTCTTAGAGGTTGATTTCTACGCCAGTCCCGACCAGCGCATTTCTCGGACGTTTTGTTTCTCCAAAAACGGTCATGGTCTGTACATGGACTCGAGGAGCGAAATTCAGAAATTTTCCGTGAGCAGCGACTTCTGTAATCAGCTGCAAGATCTTCGAGGCAATGTTCATACAACGAAAGAAAAGCCTGAAGCCCCGCGACAATCGTTTTTCAAAGGCTTATTCAGTGGCGGACCCAGCGTTCTGGATCGAGACGAACTTTGTGAGTATTCCTGACGCTATCCCGCGGCTGTCCTGCGGGGGCTTCGGAAATCCGATAGAACTTCGGAATTGCTACCGGAATCAAATTCCTCCGAGTGAGCTCGATGCTTCGGAGAGTACCGGGGGCAATCGATTCGATCGGCTCTGCCCAGTCAAGTCTTCGGCCGATGCGGAAAAACCGTTGTTCGAGTTGTCTTAGTTTCACGGATCCTACAGAAAGCGTCCTCTGTTTGCTTCTGACGCTGGATACAAATTACGCTAAGACGCTATTCTATTCAGTGAATCATTCACCATTCATTACTTAATGTTGTATAAAGGAGGCATTAGGGAATTTCCCGGCGGCGCGCCTTGAGACAAACGAACGAAAGAAAGGAAGAATAAACGAGCGGACAGCCGGACACGAAACGAAAGATATCGGTACACAAGAGAATTGGTGTTTGAGAAAGGGTTTGATAGGAGTCCGGCAGAATCAATTTGGGAGGAGCTCAAAGTTTGGAATTCAGAGCAACTGCCTACTAGGATGCATGCACGTACTTCTCCATGTGGTTCCAGTTGTTTGTTTGTTCGTTCGTTCGTGAGAGTTCGCTCGTTCGTTCTTCCGTCGTCCGTCCGCCGGTTGATTCAAGACCGCGTTTAAGTGCACAGCGCGGTATGGAGTGCGGAGGCGTTCCCCCAACCCGCTGTACTCCAGCGGATGTGCGGTGGGATCTGCGCGCTAATAGCCCACATAGACAGCGTGAAAATAATTCCGGTGGCTCCACGTCGGGCAGGCAAACCATCGAGCGGTTGATTACAAACTTTGAGTTCATTTCAGTTGGCGAGACCGGTAGCGGGAAAGCTTCGAAAACCATCGCGCGACACATTCCTGGCAACGCTGCCAATCTGGAAGCCATGAGTCAGAGAGCAGGAACCCTGGCCGGTGAAGTCGCACGGACCCGATTGGTGAGCAATTATTCCATGTTCGCTTCTTATAGACAAGTTTTCGGAAGTCTAGATCCCTCGGAGGCTCGCCAACCCACGGAGACTTCTCTCGTGATATGAATCGGAGGAAGATCTTCGCTTCTTATCAATGTGGACTCCGCAAATAATTCCTGAAGACCATACGAGTTTTCGCGTCGCCTCTACCAACCGATTTCGAGCCCATCGACTTCTCCACGGCAGTCTGTGTACTTTCGTCAGCGTACGAGAAGATCAATCATCTTCCGGCAAAGAATCGGTATCATTCCGATCACCTAATGGGATATGACAGACTCATGAACGACAGGGTAAACATCTGCCCAGGGGTGAGCCACCAGAAACAAGTGCGCCGCTGCAAGTGGAGAAGCTGTCAAGCGGAGGTCTCAGATATCAGAGAGCGTTCTTTGGAGCCCGCCAGCCGGGAGACATATCCGTCTATCGGTCGGAGCTTCTTCTCCATTTACAAAGAACGCTTTCAAGTGCGCTCGATTGCCCCCAAAACCATAGACACCGCATTCCTAACGGAATATGGTGCCCCTTGAAAAGAAGAGATAGCGCCTCCGTTCAATCGTCTTGCGGCCTGCGTTACTGCGGCCCGGCCGTTGCAGAGTCTTGATGTTCCCTCTTGTTCCCTTCGAAGTTTTTGAATTGTTTTGACCAACAGTGTTCACCCAAAACTTGAATGCGTGTTCAGTCAACGGGAAAACGCTTCCTCCGCTGCTCTGGTTGCCCAACTTGTCGGGAGCCGTCGGAAACTCGACGAGAATCCGTGGAGCGCATTCTATTTTCGGTCGACGCTTCCCGGATTCCTCCGCAGGCTTTTCCGCATCGGATTCAATGATTCCGCCGCAGTCAGGGGTTTCGCGAAGGCCTTCTCAAGGCCTGGAAAACCGATCGCTGCGATTTCCACGGGAAGTCATCGATAATTTTGACAGATCCTCGGAGGCATGCCATGCCTCAAGGTCGTTCTTGCTCGAGACGAATCGGAAAGGAACGCTGTCATACACTGACTGTCAAAACCACGGAAAGCGAAGTGGATCTATTGAAGTTTCAGTTATACGCTTGATTCGATCAGACAATTCGATAAATCTTCTCTCACCGGCCAGACAAGGATAGCACCTTCGCTGCTGAGGGGGATGAAAAATAGAATCTCGAATCAAGGCAAGTCGGACGAAACGTCGAGGCGGACCCCGCGGAGAGGAACGACGGAGAAAACGCTTCTCGAATCCATCGAGCGAAGACCTCCGGGAAGCAGGAAGCGAGGGCGGACGACGAAGGCCATCCAGCATGGCGAACTCAATGATCGCGGGTCAGAGCAAGATTGGAGGCAGTATCTGCTCCGAGTTCTATTGCCCATTTGTGAAAGTCCATTCGAGACTAGCACTTAAGGGAATTCAATGTTATGGCGAGCCGACCGACAGCCTGTATAGCGCTATCGACTGGTCCGATATCGGTATAGGGTCCGAAGTCACCGCAGTGATGGACGATCGGGTGATTGTCCTATCGTTGCGCAACATGCGTTTGTGTGTATTTTCACCACTTGGAATCTCTCACGCAGCAACCCTGGTGAACAACTCGGCGCGATCGGATCGTAATGCCAGCCGCCACAGGGTCCTGAGAGGTCGGAGAATATCTGAGGAATTCGGCGGGAATAGGCCTGTATGTATTCCCGATCTGCCCCGTGAGGCCGTCCGCGATGACGCTTAGGCGCCCGGGAAGTATCGATGGCTGATTTCCGATTCCCTCCAACGCCCTGTGGATTTTTCCCCCCCGGAGAATTTGTTTTGCGCTCCCGAGACCTTTGAGGCATCCTCTTCAAACAAGACGGCGTCGTGTTTCTTGTCGTCCCGACCCCCGAGAAGGTCTGCGGTAGGCTCCGTAACGGCTGATCAGGGACTCAGCAGAACGTGACCCACAGGCGATGACAAGTCGTCATCACTTATCTCCCACCGTCTGGCTCGGTGCGCCGGTGGCTTGCTCAAGCCGCCGATCTCGGCGGTTCATTTCACCGAGATCAGACCTATTCGTTGACTGTGGATCCGCCGCGCACCGTGAGTCGCAACACCGTACGCGGATGTGGGGTCCAGAGTATCATGAGAGCTCGAAGGCTCCTCAGAGCTGGAAAGTTTCCCACTTGGGATAATAAAAAAAACGAGTATTCAACAAGTTTCAGGTCTGACTCCGCCTGACATAGTTTGCGCTCCTGGATACTAGAATACTAGCTCACTTGCCAAAGTTCCCCATATAGCGAACAGACCCTGAAATATTGGCATACATTCCTCTGCGGCTGGAAACTTGTCCATTCTCCTCTCACCCGCCTGCGCGGTTGCTCGGTCGGTCGGCTGGCTGCTCCCTCGTTCGTTCGTTCGCTCGCTCGGAGAGCCTATCGTGAACAGGCACACTGACTCTTCTGCTGTGCTTGTCGCTCTCTTCCACCCTCCTTCCCCTCCTACGCAGCGCTCCGTGGCACTTCTCCTCTATCATTTCACACTCTGTATGTAAATGACGTCTGCTACACAGAAGAACGCCATACAACTGGAGGAATACGATTTCATATGTGCTCCCGTGTCTGTATGCGGGGAGCATCCCGCAATCAGCAGAGGTCCGAGTTTCTTTTCCGGAAGAGGCTTCTCTGCTGACAACAAGATGGAGTCCCTCGACCACGCCCGTCGTCGATCGAAATTCCGGGAGCTGATGGTGGAGGTTCCCATACAACTCCGAGGGCTCCAGGCGGGTTGGAACCTGTCATTAGCCCCCTCCCCCATTCCCTCCCCCCTGGACCGGCGGCTGTGTTCGTTTCATCTTACTTTGCTAAATAAAAGCGAGCTCAATCTGACGAGCGAATGAATACACTCGCACAGTCCCGGAAAACAAGCAGCTCGGAGGCGCGGATTGCTGCACGACTTGAGAGAAATTCTCACTTCAGCTTCCACAAGCAGTCCCTGAGTGAGCTGTCCCCCTGCTCACACGTGTGAACGGAACGCCATTCTGTGTGACGCTGAAAATGATCAGATCTACCAATGATGGTTTCCTAGACTGGGGTACGTTCCAAGGACATGTAGGGCAGTCACGTCATGACAGTCGTTCCGTAAAATGATAGACAGCAGGAAGGCTCGAACACATTGCAGTCGTCATCCCGTCGGACGGCCATTCTGATACCAAAAATTAAGCTTTGGTGCATACTCACTCCGATTCGATGAGTGCCGGGGGTGGGATGGTGGAGATTGTGAACTCCCGTGGAAAGAGTCTTATCGGACCCGCCGCGGCACCGATATAATTCGCCCCGATAACTCAGTGGGTCCTGAGAGGCGTCTCGAAAAGTACACGCCCGCATGGCCAACGGCTCTGGAGAGGGGCAGTCGGCGCTCAGTTGTGCCCCCATCGAAGCCGGTGCGATTGAACAGCTCCCACTGCGTGCCCCGGGCTCAGGGGAAAACCTCAATGCGGCGGAAAGGTCTGATCTGAGGAAGATAATAATAATCGGCCGCCTTATGACTCGACGACAAGAGAGTGTTCTCATTCGAAGAAAACGAGTCCCGAGGAACGCTAGATGGCTTGGGCTCATAAATCGTAGGGTTCCGCGAATCACATTCTCAAATATCGATCGAAGGATGAGATTTGACTCGTATAGACTCCACGAGAAGATAATGTGAGATCTGCTCGCGTAGAAGACTTTGCCTCGGTAGAGTATCTCTAAACGATCTCTTCGTTACAGGCACTAGACGAGCGAGGACAAGCACTATCTCAACTGGAGGAGCGCACTGGACGCATGATGAGTGAAGCTGAAATCTTTGCGAGTACCACGAATCAACTGGTGAACAAGTATAAGGATAAGAAGTGGTACCAGTTTTGAGCTCGTGGATAAGCAAACGACAAACAGAAACCAGACACACAACATCAACCCTTCGTACGCCACAAACTGGAACGCTGATTCTGGAGCATCATCATCTCCAGGACTCACAAGAAACTCTGGAGATGAAATCCGTTCAGCGAAAAATGTGCGGGAGTCCCCGATCGGGCTCAGTGGAGAACTCGAAACGAAACGTTCCGATCGGCTACCGTTCCTAACGCGCATCCTACTACTACCTACTTCTAATGCCACTACTTTCGATGTTATTCCTACTGATACTGACGCTAATGTCACCGATCAAGGGGCAAGCGCTGCTGCGATGACAACTCGGAAGAAATCAACGTCGTCGCCTCTGGGAAAATCAACGTTGACAAAGAAAACTATTCTCGACGACAACGATGACGACGACCAGACGCAAGTATATCGTCGAAGACGCTCACAACAACAGCGACCACAACAAAAAAATACAGGAGTTGGGAGGAGATTGAATGATGAATGAAACACCTGTTTTCTTAGAGGGACAGGCTTTCTAACCTAGGTAGAGGTTTCTTATTTTTACGAAGTCCACTATTGGCAGATAATCACTGACTGTTGTTGCCAATGTGTGAATGAATCTAGTCAACGACTCCGTGCTTGAACTACTAGTTACGTTTACAAACATAGTTTTACGAACTCATCCTCATGATCCTCGCGGTATTGACTGAGATACAACTATTCCTCTGAAGAGGAGGAACAACAAAACGGCGTAGATCCCTATCGAGTAGAAAGAGGTCAGACTTGCAGTCTACTAATGCCATCGTGTCAGTTTTGACATTGTTATTTGAGGATCGGTCGATTCCTGTGCTCGCTCGCTAAGCAATTGGGCACATCAATCTTTTCCGGTCCGATTACAGATTTTAGCAGAGCTAGATTGACGCCGACGCTATCAAAAATGAGAGGAACTGAATACTGGCAACAACGACATATTGATCGAAAATGACATAGGAGCGTAAGCGAAGCTTTCACAGCACTCGAGCTGAATACAGCCCCAACAAGAGGAATGAAAGAAATTGTAGAATTCAGATGAAAAAGGATCAAGATGGGGTTCGTCACAGCAGAGATATCATTTTTGGGAGGCGTTGACCGTGCGCCGGAATCGAACACATTCTCACTTTTTGATTATGGAGAAAAGAGCGTTTCGAAGAGATTTGAGAGAAAAGGCTGACATTAGGAATGCTGCCAAGAACCTCACATGAGCCTCAATCTTGCTGAAATATCTTTATCGAGTTTGACATGGGATGGTCTCCACAACGATTGAAAGACTTCTTGACATCTCAATGGATGTTACAAGTCCTTGCCACAACCCCACTTGTCGATAATAATGGTTATATTTCTCATCTCATTGATTATTATACGGCTGTTGAATATTATGATTGGTAGACTTGTTCTATGTTTGATTACTGGCGAACTCTTGCCGATGCTCGCCGCCAAACAGCCCACGAAGGCTCCGATGCGAGGCCATTACCCCACGCGAACGCCCGATCCCCGATTTCCCAATAAGCTTCCTGCGTATGTCAGAGATTCGTCTTCATTGCTCCTGAATCTGGAGCTACCTCAGTCCGGTCCGATGAAATTCCAGGTATCTCCATCATCGAGGTGGCTTACCGGTCCTGGCATTCTTACATTTGGAACTCGGAGCACGATCTCGAAAATTATGATTGACATGTCCGAAGAGATCGAGCGCCATAGTTCGACAGAGGCCCCGCGTCGCAGCGAAGGGTCAACCATGATTCTTCGAACCCCAATCCCGCCCCCGCTGACCCATCTCTTCCATGCTATAATTCTCTGCCCTATCCTCCAGTAGGGCCTTCAAGTTATTATTGAGGCAGCCACTTGATGGAGGACATGACCACCAGAAAAGCAATGGCAAGGACTTTCGACTGGTGATGTTGTAAACGTCGTTCCACTAGATCATGTCCTCATTGTGATCTCTAAATACACTCGTAGCATTCAGCTATCCACAGAAACCGCGGGGCGACTCTTTACCGAGCAAAATCTGAAATCGAACTCCAGTGGCTACGCGGGAGAATTTTCCCCCGAATTCGCTCGTTGAACGAAGCACGCCGATCCTAAAGCTGCTCAAATAGTATGAGAAAAGTTTATGACGTTTAAACGGTCTTCGCAAAATCCCGCTAAAACTCCTGCGGTGCGCGTTTTCCTGATTTCGCACCCATCGTGCAGGTCATTCCGATCGACGTCTGAGAAGGGGACTTCCTTTTCAGAAAAGTTTTCCTGCGCCTGAATTCGCACGACCCGGCGGCATTGAAGGGCGATCAGATTATGAGAGCCCGAATACCAAGGTTTCATCTCTTCCCTAATTATCCTCTTCCATTTGATATACTGTCGTGCGCTTAGAGCTCGAGAGCATATTGACCTCCCTTTTATACGTTCCGAGACGAATATAGAATCTGACAAAGAGAGAGGAGAAGACGTTGGATCGGCCCTCTCTGACGCTCAAAGCCAGTGACGGTGAGGCGTCCCCCGATTCCTCGCACGGCCATCGACCGAGTTTATCGTTGACCGCTCTGGGATGCAGGGAACCCGAGGCACGGCCGATTCTCAGACTTCCCTGCATAGACTTGAGAATCTTGAAGCTCCATGACCTCTGAATTTGTTTTCGGAAAAACTATCTACGTATCGTCATAATTTTCGGGATGCCTTCGATTGAGGCCGATGTGGGTCCCGTACCTCAAGCAGACATTTCCCTGGCGAAATAGAGATGGGGGGAGGGGCCTGGAGTGTCGAAAGTTTCCTTCCCCGGAGGGAGCGACAGGTCCCCTTCAGCTGACTATCGATTCTGTCATTGATTTCGCGCGCCGTCATTGGTTTCGAGTTGCCGCCGGGACTCACTGAGCTCATCCGACTTGTTTTCGCCTCGTTCTGGCGCTGGGTCGATCCCTCCGACTACGGTCCTGCGTTGAAGCTACGCCGAACGATTTTCTCTGTTGAAATGGGTTGCCTCATTGATGTTGGAATAATTCCCAAGCGTGGTTGTAAAATCTCTCTAGGTCGTATGTTGGATGCTTTTGACGTTTCGAGGGTGATCTGATCCTAAGATGCACTTCCTTTTTCGGCTGAACAGAACTCTTGGGATCAGAGGCGTCAGGATTTAAGAGTTTATTGCGCCGCTTTGAACCTGCTCTGAAAACGCGCCTGCACCATCGGTCGGTAATTGTTCGCTGTAAGAAGGTTCTTCTCTTCGCCTACCTTACTACATACCTATCCATCGATTCCCATCTCGTTCTAGATCGACGCATCTATCGCTCTCGCTTCGCAAGGGTAGATTGTGATTTCACCACACCCGCAGCATTCGCGCATGGACACGCATACCACGGATACTTGTGATTTTTGGCTCATTCCGACGAATAAGTCACACATTTCTCTCATCGAACATTGGAAGCAGTTCGCTCATGTCAAGTCAGGGATGATTATGTCAAACAAACCTCGAAAGTCCGGAGTAGAAGGTTCGGGAGCCAGTGACCCGAAAGGCGCTGGAGAAATTGACTGAAGCAATGTCGAGATTTACGATGGTGTCTAGAACAAAGCGAGCGTAGAAAAACATTTCAACGTCCTCTTGAAAGACATGGTTTCTCCACGTAAAAGCGAAAATGTCAAGGAGTCTGCGGACAAACTGAGTCAGGAACCGATACTTGAATTAGTTGAGCAGACTCTTAGAGGATTAGCTAGGTACATACATATATGACTGGTTGGTCATCCAATTAGACGGTCAGTTTGTCGATCGCTTGATCAGTCAGTCCGTCGATCAGTTGAAATTCGGAGGAATACTTAGCAAGGAACAACTTTACACGGTCTATCGAAGTACTGTAAAGAGAAAAACCACAACAATAATAATTACGGTTTAATAATAATAGTGATAAAAGGAGCGAGAAAACGGTAAGAATAAAAATAAGAATAATTATTATGGTAAGGATATCGAGTTACGTCTCTGATATCGTCGCTTCCGGATCAAGCGTTATCAGCGCAACGATGATGATAGCCTCGCCGGTGATATTCGATGCGCTCCCGTTCCTTATGCGAGCCTACGCTCACAGACAAGCATGGTCGGCCCGGTGTTTGCAGATGAGCTGATGTTCACGGATTAGGGGTTCTGTCAGAGTATGACGAGAAAAAACATTCGTACGTGGAGTAGGAAGTCCTGGGTTCCCCGAGTCGAGGCTCAAGCTCGAGCAGGCTGATTTCATCAAGTGGCTCCATTCGGAGAAGCGTGAGGCTGAACCCGTTTTAGACATGAAGACAGCCTACAGCGTAGCATCGGGCTGACCAAGGCAGACAGAACAGTTTCAACGATACAAACCTCTCACAACGACCAGAAGTCTCCGGCCGGTTCCGATGCGGAGCGTCGGCGGACCCGAAGTCTGCCGCGGCGAATCGCAGGACGTCTGGGTTCCACCGTTTGACTGAAGTCGGGTAGATTGTCTCTCGGATGCAGATATTTTATGTAATCATCCCTAGCTATCTACCTACATAGCTCCCCCATTCATTCAATCGAGCGATCGCATCATCTGTCGATGCCCTCCTGTCGCACGACAAGCTGTTCAATGATATCCTTACGCTTAGAGACGGTCAGACTGTGGCGAGAAACGATGACGATGGATCTCTGACCGAGTCACGGACCGATATGACGTAAGTGGTCGATATTGGAACCTCTTTCCGAGTGAAGAATCGATTCGGAGGTCCAGATTGAACGGTGCTCATCTGAGAAAGCAGAAGCTTCGCAAGTGAACTTCGGATCTATTGTCTCATGATTGACAGTCGAGACCAGTACTCAGAAAGTAGGTCCCTTGCAAGCATAGCTCCCGGCGTGTGCTCGTCGACCTCTACCATTTCTTTGCGAAGGAGCCGATAAGTTTTGTTCGGTTGTCCCCGGCAACTTTCAGCACTTTCGGTGCAGTAGAGTGGAATTGATCGATGCGAGCACTGGAAGAATCCGAGCGTGTATGACAGGAATATTTTATGAATGGCGAAGTGATCGTAGGCACCCTGCTTCGCTCCGAGCCGCAGTAGAGCGGGAATGAAACTTTAGTCGCCTCATACTATACGGGAACTCCTATCGGGGATTAGACACTATCGCAAATCGAGAACTTCTGAGTATTATCAATCCAGGCGTCTTTGAGAAAGATTGCTTGACTGAGCGACTGATGTTGTACGATCGATGAATGATTGATGGATGGAGTAAATGAGTGACAAATGAGAGTAACCTTATGTCTAGCTCTTCTTTCCGATCAACTCACTGACTGATTGATCGACGGATAGACGGATGCGTTGGCCGAGTTAATTCGTCTTTGTTAGAGAACGTTGACCCGCGCGGGAACGGGGAATCATGACTCCTTCTCACTCGGAGAGATTCTAGAAATACCAGAATAAAACCGCAACACAGCAAAGCATCAGGTATTACTATAAATATACTGTCGTTGACATCATCGATACCACGGATATTGACATCGAGTCGCCATCATTGTTATGATTATGAGGATTACAAGAATAATCATCCTTGATATAATGATAATGATAATTACAATGATAATTATTATTATTATATAATCGTACTGTAAGGCTGAGCGGACGGAAAGGATCCATGGAGATACAAAGCGAGAGATGCAAGAGAAAACCTTGACAGAAGATAAACTTCAAAATGACATTGTTGGCATCAAACGAGCTAATAATTCTAAATAAATGTGTAGACGCGAAACAATCAAATGCGTCCTTTCTGGTGGATCCTTTAACAATCATCGCCCTCAGGGCAGTCCGCCGGCAGGTATCCGTATCTATTGGTCGGACTGTTATCTGTGATCCGAGTTCGCCGGAGCTCATGGAGTAAGGGGTTCCAATGAGATCTTACCCCCAATCACGCTACTCGGCATCCTGCGAGCTGACGCCCCTGCGGTGTATTTCGGCCTTGGCATAATTTCTGTGAGCCGACGAAAATATGCTGATAAATTATTTTCCTCTTCCACCTCATGACCAGCTCTGCTCAATTAAGCAAGCTGGCGGCTCATCCAGCGAGAGCCGCTCTGGGAGCACACCTTAGTGACTTATAGCAATCGTGAACGTGATCTCGACAAGCTAGCTTGATCGGGTCAATTTGAATTAGTGCGAGTCAGGTCTCTCTTCTCCCTCCGAGGATTTCCCACCTGCCAACGAGTTACGCCCACGCGCTGATACCCCTTCCGTCTAGCTGACTCTCCTGACAAGAATGGAAATATCCCTCCGGTCCCGTAATAAATTCCAGTTCGAATCGCTCACTATCGGCCAATGAACGCTAGAAGACCGATGTCCCCTCATCGGCCCGCCAGTTCCTGGGCCTGTGATCTCGGACGGTCATCGAAAGCGTCAAGGGTCCCTCAACGATAGAAGAGATGCATCCAGTCCCCTTAACCGGGGCTTCCTGCGACTTTTTTTCAATCGTGGGGAGAATCACCAAACGATTTCGCCCACCGAGAGGGCTCTATGCGATCGAGGCTCCCGATGGGGGGAGGTCAGGAGGAACGGATCCCACAAAACAAGTGGCGCCGCGCCGTCCTCCCCGAACAAGAGGCATCGATTAGGCTCGAGGAGATTTAGGCCGAGACTCCGGACGTTCCGCGTTTGCGGAGCTCAATGAGGATCACCTGAAGGGTTCGACAACACTCCGACGACGATGAGGGAGCAGATATGAACACGGTGCCGGTCGCTTCTACACATATAGTCGGAGGGTGCTTGACCTTCATCGCTTGAACAAGTTCCAAGCAATATATCATAAGCCCACATACTACACTGAGAGCCACTCGCTCGAGCACAGGATGAAGGCGAAGAAGTACGATCAGTGAGCCTGTACATACGCTCGGAGAAGAGAGGGCATGAGAATCAGGGACGTACACCCGCTACATTGAGCTGTTCCGTGTCGCTATATCGGACGTCTGAGCCAGCGGTGCCGGTGCGGCCGTATCGCAAACTGAGACTAAGCAGTCGTACTCTCCTGAAAAAAGTCCAATATCTTGCATTAGCGGTGGGAAAACCCGTCAAGGTAGATGATAAATCTCTTTTCCCGACCGATACCGGCGGGCGTCGAGCTCGTTGGACTCGAAACTATTCGGAGTAGGGGGTCTAAACCTCAAACAGAGGATTCTCACTCCTCGTTCCCCATCCATGAGACGATTTCTTCAAGCAGCTTTCGGATTTATTAGGCGGGTGAAATGTGTCCACTCCCCCTCTCCAGCCCGCCAGAGAATCAGCTACAGCGGGGACGCAATACTAGCAAGACGTTGAAATTAGAGGTGTGTTCTTTCCCTGCCGTCTAGGAGTATTCTCCCCGAATCCGTCGTCCTTGAGCTCGGTGGAGCTCACGGAGCAGGAGGAAAACCTGTAAAGCTTGTCGATAAATATTCCTCGGGTAGCTCCCTGCACCTCCTGAGCTAACATCTTGGGGAACAAACATCGAAGGAACTCTGTCGAGACGAACCTATACGCTCCCTGAAGTCTCAACACTCTGTGGGTGCCCGAGATGCCCAGGAGAGCGATGCCAGAACTCTGGCTGCCCTTGTTCGCTGACCTCGTCATTCTGCGGACGCTTCGAACGGTATTATCTCCCCGACCCACAATACCATTTCATGGTGTTTGCATATCTCGAGAGCGAAAAAGCGTTTGGACGACACGAGGGAAATCTGGCGTCCGACGAGAACGGGATTCCCGACAGCGAAGCTTGAATCGTCAACGGCGTCGTTCGTCAAGAGAATCGTTGTCCGTAAAAGGAAGAGGGGACGATCTCCATCCTGAGTTTACTGTTTTGTTTCGGTCGGTCGCGCGTATTTGTGGAGAAGCAATTCCCGTCGGGCATATTTCATTCATCGGCTCAGAGGGCATCGTCGCCTCTCCACCGCTGTCAAAAGGTTGACGCTTGGTTCCCTACCTTAGCTGGCTCGCTCGGTCGACCGACCGACCGATCGACTGGCTGGCGGAGGGTCGACGGAAAGCAGGCGGAAAAACTGTGAACAAAGTTCCCTCTCACGCTCGTACACCGACGCATACATGATCCGAGTTTAGATACATCGATGGGCGAGCCGACGCGTGGACGCACGGACTGATGCGCTACTTCCTGATTAGAACAATTAACGGCCCTCGAAAGCGAACGTCCACAGTCTACTCGTTATTGGAGCTATGGAACTCTACCGGAACAGATCTCCACCGGTGCGTTTTGTGATTCGAGTGTGCGTTCTGATTGTGTTTTATACCGTGTACAAGTTCATCAACGATCGTTCGTGATCTTCGGCGTTCCTTTCTCGAAAGGACCGATTTGTGGACAAAACGCAACGAGAAATGATCTTAACCCCTCCCCTCCGCTGCGATCACTTAGAAGTGGATTGTGATCGGTAAAACTACCTGTTGTCCCCTTGGATCAGGGAACCATTCTCCAGTGTCTCCGGGAAACTTTCCCGGACCACTCCGAAGAATCCATCGAATCGCTGAAGCAAGCAGCCCCGTGCTCGATCACGGAGCCGAAACTCCCGGGAGGAGCTCAGAAACTTTGTAAACCACATGCAGATGATCTCGGCTTCGAATCGGAGAGGCTCCGAAGCGCGTTCCGAGTAATCTAAGCGAAAGTGGTGCGGTGAGATCCGGGTTCTCCCGGAATCGTCCGGCGGGAGTCTTCGTACTTCAAGGATTGAATCGTGATCATTCGACCGGCGACAAACCCCGGAACGCTCGAGGGCTGGACCTACTGACTCCGATCACAAAACTCCGAGCGTTATGGAGCCCGACACGGAAGCTCGGGCTAGTGCGTCCGTGACTTTTGTTACACAACAAACAGAAAACCCGCTCATAGATTTCTTGAGGGAGCGAGCAGCGACAATCATTCCCCAGACTTCTCCCCACGTCCTCGAGGTAAGAGCTCGATCATCGGAGGACGGAGAGCGTTTTCCAACGAGTCAATCGATTGTCCTTTCAGAGTCATGACGGTACTTCAGTCTTGGAGTCGTCTAGGATTGTCGTGGGTGGATAGTCCGAGTTAGCAGTCGAGTTCAGTGGCCATCCCAATTTCTTTGCAAAACGCTTGAATCACTTTGGGAAAATGTACAGGCGTTGATCTCCCAGCTCCGTCGGCAAGTTCCGCGCTAAGAAGATCCCTTCTGGGGCTGCGCTTTCCAGACCACAATTCTTTCAACTTCGGGTCCCGACTGGGAGAGTCACAGCTCAACACTGACGCTAACGGCGTGTGTGGCTATCGTAATCGCTTTCTGTGGCTTCATTGGGAACCTCTTGACGATCATAGCTCTCACTTCAAATCGAGGTCCGTCTTCGAAGGTAAGTCTTCGCCGAGAGGTCTAAGTTCAGAGACGATGGAAGAACCAGACTTTGCAATCAAACAGAGCGAGAAACTCGATTGGAAGCGGGATTTCCATCGGGGGAAGTGGGAGCCCCATGGAAGCATAATGATCGATCCGGACACAGCTCTGAGATTGTTGAGTAATCGTCATGGAATTCGAAGGCTCGCGTAGGATATCTGATCTTAAATCCCGTGCTTCTTGACTTCCCAGCAGAAAGCGGGACCTATATTAGTAATCGGCGCTAACGACCCACGCTATGTCTAGGATATGAGAGCTCGACGCGGTTTCGGGAGGAAGAATCCTGGGCTCACTCAGTTGGCTAGGGAGACATGGAGGAGAGATGCTCCACGCTACGACCATACACGGAGCGCCGCGTCTGAATCGGCGCTCATTCGAGCCAGAAAAAACCTCACCTCTCTCATGAGCATTATTTGCATTGCGAGCTGGCTCACTCTGGCGGTAATGATCGTGCTGAACGGCGAGTTCTCCCCCCGTAAAAACAAAACGAAGAGCAATTAATTGAGGGAAGTCCGACATCTGGCTGAGCACGCTCCCGCTTAACTTCATTAATTCTTCCCAATGAGCGCTACACTGACTGGCCGAGTAATGAATGAGACTTCACGCTTGCTCCCCCATGACTCGTTCCGCATCACAACATTTGTGATCAGGGCGCCGTATTCGATCTGAAATTGAGACGAGGGTTCGATGCTATCCTCATTCCGCGCGGGCGTCGTATCCACGATTCCTCGAATCGTGGATAGAATCGTCGAATAGGATTCGTTCGCCCAGCACCGGCATCGCTCACCGAAGAGCTACCCGACTCGTACATACCATAGGTGGTGGGAAGCCTCTACTCGGGACATTGAATAATGGAATAATAATAATAATCCTAGTGAGGATCAAACGACTCGATGCCCGACGGAATCAGTGATCGACCGCTGGTTAGAGAACTGCTCTCCGTCAATCTCGAAAGCCATAGAAGTTCGCCATTCGTCGAGCCTGGTAGGCTCTAATAACTTGATTGCTCATGACGTCGGCGTCGTCCCGATTTCCGAATGGCCAACGGCGAACGAACCGGTTAGCGCTGTCCGTGAGCAAGTGTTCAGAGGACTGGGCAACGCTTCGGGAAGGAATCTCGCCTCTCCCTCTGCCTCCTCCAGCAACATGTCGCGGCTGGCTGAGCCGAAAACGACGCCGACGGTCGCTCGAGTTGGAGTCTATTACCGATAACGGCGCCCGAGTCGCCCCGGTGCTCCACGACCGAACTCGTCCGTGACCTTTGTGATGGCTCGAAGCTCCCCCCACCGGGAGCATTCAGTGAGCAGCAGCGAGACACGAGGGCCGTGTCGAACCTGTTTCTAATGGGGTCATCGACGAGCGACGCCGACGCGATCCGTCAGACTCAAAAGAAGCGAGAGAATGAGGGAGTTACGCTCGGGAAGAGCGTAACTTGATTGGTCGATTTTTTCCATCCCGAAATTATCGGCGCAGGTGTTTCCCGATCCGATGACGTGATGCGAAGTCGGCCGCGTACGGCTCTAGACCTCTCGCATGGTGATTCACGTCTCAGGTGCAGCACGGTCGAGCTACCTGCTCGACTTTCGACTCGAGGAACTCTCCAAGACCTGTGGCAGTTCGGTAGTGACGGCCGATCGGCAGACGAGAGAGAGGTCGAACGGCGCCCATGGAGTTAGGAATAGAAACACAGAGCGAATGAGGTGCGAACTGCTCTTCCACTCTTTGTGTGGAACGACACGTGTCCGCGGAAAAGAGTTCGGAGACTAATAATTCTCCTCCACATCGCCTTCGAACAAATACTGTCTCGGAGAAACGAAGAACGACGTAAGCTCGGTGCGAGTTCATGGAGTTCGTCTGTCGAATCGAATGGCGCCGTCACCCCCTCGTTCGTGGGATTTCCGGGCGGAGGGGAAACGGAGTTCGGTCGAGATGGACCGAGGGGACGAATTAAGTCGATTTGTTTCTCCAAGCCTTCACATTCCTAAATCGTAGTCGATTAGTCGAGCAGAGAAGACCTGGAGACTTCCGTCAGCTCGCAGGGAATCTCGGCACTTTCCGACGGGGCAAGGTCCAGGGGTGGACCCTCTGCTCCGAAATTTCCCCCTCCCCTCGGATCCGCTCGATTCGATGCGGGAGTTGTCGCGTAGAAAAGACGGAACGCAATGATCAGTCTGAAAATGAGCGAGGCCGACCTTGATTTCACATGGATCGAGCAAGATAGAGATAGCTTGCGATAGATCGTTGTCGGATGAGATTCAATGGCCTCGACCGGGCACAGTGAACAGATGGATCTGTCTGAGAATCAAGAATTCCGGGCAAGGACGTCCGAGTTGCTCCTCAATCTGTTTTGCGTGCTATCGATCTGTTGACGTCCCTATCCGTCTCGGGTATCGGCTATGCGGGTGGACTGTGATCATTGCCCTGGATGAGACGAGTTTTCGAGCTCTAATCGTATTCAGTTTGGCAATTTATCTCCGGCAGAGTACACGCACATACAATACCACAATCCGTCTGTTGATTTCCTTTCCTCTGGAAGGCCCGTCTATTTATGCATCGGCTCGCCGACGTTGTGTTGTCCCAAGGGTGATGGTCCTTTATTCTTGGGAACTCAATTAAGCAGAGATGCCCTAATAGCAATGGTCGGGACAGATAAGATTACGACGCACGGCGGTAGTGATGGTGAGGGCTGCGGCGGCGACGGTATTGGCACGGGTTTGGGCGAAGCTGCCGGCGGTGAAAGGAACGGCCGCAGTGGATTCATCGGCAGCGTCTACTCACCTCGCGCGCGAATCTCCGCGAAAACATCTCGTCTTGCTTTCTCGTCCCGGAAGACCAGCCGGGATGTTTGTTCCCCTCTTCGCTCGCTTGTGGGCAGCTCGTCGTGCACTGAGCCTCCAGGCGCTGTTATAGCGCTGGCGAATCGCAAGCACTCGCCAAGAGGCGTCAAATGACGACGAATGGCCGAAGGCGAACGAAGGGCTTTCGTTTGCTCCCTCTCCCGCGAACTTTGAAAAGTTTCCGTTCCGTCGATTGATCGATGGATATCGATCCGATCGCTATAGAAGCACCTCTCTGCTCAGGGCAGTCATTATTCTTATGAGTGCGTCAGACGGATTTTCACACCGCCTCTGCTTGAAGTGGTTGTGAACGTACTGGAAGTTTTAGTTTTTGCGTGAATTATTCGTTTTTTTTCGCGTCCGAAAGCGCAGACTACTCGCCGATTTCGACTCCGGGGCTGCGAAAAGAGTCGCCGTACGACGCGCTTCCAGAGTCCACGTTTAGCGAGAAACTAATCTGCATCAAGCTCGAAATAATTTCCGTCGAGCGCTTGCGCATTATCGACGGAGAATTCCCGGGCACATCGTCTTTGAGATCCACGATGAAATCGACATCGGGAACGCTCAGGAACCCGAATAAATTTGGGAATTTCTAGACCTCTCCCGGAGCGATTTCGGATGAGGGAACGTAACGCAGGTTTTCCGCATCCCGAGCAGCAGCGAAATGTGTGGGGGACGAAAGTTCTTTCGAACGTTCAGGCCTCGTCGCGCCACTGCCTTTTCCACCTCTTCTCCGAGCACCTACCCATCCACGAGCGCACTCACAAATCTGTGTTCGAAAACCTATAGCTTCCCGCTCGCAGAAATGAGAAAATCCTACCGAACCCTCGTTCCCGACTCGGCCTGTTCTCTGTGGAGAACGAGCTGGATGTGGTCTCGATCATTATCCGCCAACTGGGCACAAAAATATATGGAAATGATGTCTCCTGGCGGAATCGGCTGTGCTTCGGCTGCGACCATAATTCCACGCGAAGGGTCGGAGACCCGTATGCGAGTTCAGACACCTTCGACTGTCGATGACACTCACGAGCCGAAACCTTTTCCCTGCGGAATCACGGTGTTTTCCCGGGTGGAATAGGACGGATCCTCCCGCCATCGACGCCGGCTGATCGATCGCAGGCACGGAGTCTCGCCATCCCAGAACTCTCCGGAAACTAAACTGACGATAAACCCGTCTTTCGAAGCCGGCAGATATCGGTATCCATCTATCGGGAATCCAAATTACGCATGCTCCTTCTACCCTGGAGACAATTCAAGGCATATGGTCTCTCACTCATGAACATGTGATCAGGAGAGCGAAAGTTTCCCCGAATCCTCTCCGTATCGGGACGAGGAGATGATCATATCGGAATGACCCGCATGGAAGAATTCTCGTTTCCCATGCCCCAATTATTCAGATCCAGTGATTATTCCTTCTTTCGGCGCTCTCTCAAAGCTCCGGGCGATCGATGAGACGATGTTTCAACTCACTTAGTGAGCGCTGATTCGATCCGCTGCGAGAGTTTTCCAGTGTCTCAGCCAGAGAAAAGGGAAAACCTCCTCCTAAACTATTATTGCAGATTTGGCGGCCATGGCAGCAGCCTTCGACGAACGTCTCGATCGATAGAGCCCATAGCCTTCCCCGTTGTCTTTCGCCTTTGGGAGACAGATGCTGCACTCACAGACAAAGCATTATACACGGCGACAGACAGACAGGCAGGCAGGCAGACGCGAACATACATTCAGGGAAACGAACGGCCCCTTGTGCTGGTATCATTACCGGCGCGGGATCTGATCGCTCTGCCGCTAATGCCACCATTATGAGCATTTTCTTCCTCATTCGAGGCCGTCCCAGTCAGCAGACTGCCTGTATGATCAGGATGGCTCCTAGGGAGTCACCCGCGTTTTCCAAGGCGAATTACGTCAGACCTCGATGGGACCAGACGCGGAAGCCGGCGCAACCTGCGGTCGTCACTCTACCGTGACTCGAATCGATCGCAGGACCAGCTCAAGACAGGGAAACCTACTGAGTATCGAAGACAACGGAAATAAAGCGGCTCACTGCACGTCGATTAGCTGTGTCTGGAGTCTCAAAGGGTTCTGCTCCTGTGTGGGTAGGAGGCGTTGGGAACTCGTCGCTTCGGGCTCGACTCAGGCGGAATCTCTTCACCGGCATTATCTAGTCCAACAGCTGCTTCCCGGAGCGACCTCCAATGATCTTGATGGTACGGTAAGCGTGCGAGACAGAATCTAACGATCGCAACACCGTTCATCATGAGAGAGGGGATTACGATCTCGACGACGGCCGCTCACCAATCAGGCAGGTGCCCCGAACTCGTTATGCCTCCGAATGCTCGTGCGTTCGAGTTCCGGAGCCGTGGACCCCGCCAGCGAAACAACAAAAACAAGCCGGGCGAAGGCGCCGGAGACGAGGAACAAACCTAGGGTTTGAGATCGCCGAAGGAGAACTACTCTAGCGTAGCCTTCCCGGTGCTGCGCGTGGATCTAGAATATACAATGGAAACACGTCCGGGGAGCCTATTCCTTGCCGGAAAGCAGAGTGACAACTGAGGAGCGCGGAGGGCAACGATGGAGTCGACGGGCGGTCGAGGAACGACAGAGTTGACGGGTGAATCTGAGGGGGCGATCATTGTTTTCTTCCACATTTCCTGCTTCTGACAGAAAGAATTAAATCCGCGAATTTTTCAGTTGCGACGGAACGCATCCAACCTGTTCATAGTCTCCCTGTCGTTGGCGGATCTGATGTTCTCCGCGGTGAATATGCCCTTCGCGGCGTCACGTTTCTTCCACCGATCCTGGGTCCATGGTGACTTCCTGTGCCAGTTGTTCCCGTTCCTCCGTTATATGAACGTGGGACTGTCATTGCTCTCGATTACGGCCATAACCGTGAACAGGTACGGGAAAGACAATCGTCTAAGTGACTGACTGAGTGGTTGAGTGGCTCGGGTGCGGAGCGTGAGATGTTTCTGCCATTTGTCGCGCTAATCAATTTTCCCAATGCAAATTTGTCCAACCAATCAATGAGGATCCAGATCTTGGCGGGTCGATTTGCTCCGGCACTTCGTCACGGGTCGCACTCAGAATAGCTTTGATTGGACCCGAAACAGAGGACAAATCGTTCGCGGAGCCTCGCTGGCTATGGAGATGGTGTCATTGTAGCGAGCTCTCCGAATCGTAATTAGGATCTGAGCTCGAGAAATCAATAACCGAGCGGCTGCGAAAAGAACGAAGGATTCGAGTGTTCGAGGAGGCGGAAGGCGTTTGGCCTGCGAAGCCGGAATTTTTTTTCCAGGTACATCCTCATTGGCCACCGGCGCTTATATGAGCGAATTTATCACCAGCAGGCGATCTATCTCATGATCGGTGAGTAGTCTGAAATCGTGTCCGATAACATGCGCCCGAATAATTCATCTGGGAATGCCTGTCTGAGAGCAGCAAAAGCGTCGACTAGCGGCCCAGTCGACTCCCGACCCTCGTTCAGCTTTTGTTAGGCATTCGGGAAGATAACTTATAATTACGCGAGACCCAACTAGCGCTATCCCTCGGCGCTCTCCCCCCGAGGGAATCTCTCCGCCTCGCTGCTCCTCCCGTCGTCGTCGTCATCATCATCATCGTTGCTGTCTTCTCGACATATCTTCCAGGAGCCAAACTGCCCAGGGTGCGAGCCAGCCGGTCGCTCCCGTTGCCTCCGGAGTAAATCAACTCCGTCCAGGCTCGAAATTAATCCAAGGAGAACACACCGTTGGAGGCCATTTAAGACGCACGCTGACCTTGGCGTTCCGAACGTTCCGGCAGCCGAGGAGCGGCAGCGAAGCAAGGACGACACAGCTGGAAAGACATTTTGGACCCCTCCATGTCTCAGGTCGACCTTCACGCCCTAGGTCCTAGGGCATGAAGGTCGACCGAGGTTCGGCCAGAGCGAAGTACGACGGGCCGACTCCTCTTGCAGGTATTTCCTTGCGCGGAAGGGATTGGAGGGAAAAAATCTTCTCCTCGTTCCGCCGAGGGAGCAAGAGCCTACGTTGGCTAGGGGTGGCAAAAATTATGCAGAGCATGCGTGACCTTGACCCTCGCTTCACGTCGAGGTGTCGCTGCCAACTCGTCGTATGAGCCGTTGTTGCTCCTGAGGATTCGATGCATGTTTAGTTTCCGGATAGTTTGCTTGCAGCACTCCGCACTCCTTACAAGAAGTCACGGCTCGCCGAGTGTCACGTCAGTGCTCGCTTGGCGAGTTTCGACTGAGACAGGGGACCGAATGTTGGAGGCGGAGCAGCAGCGGCGGCCGAACTAAGGAGAAGAACAGGAGGCGAATGATGAAGGACCGCGGAGGAGAATGAAAATTTCGTCAGGAGATACCGACGAGCTCATTTTTGAACTGGATAGTGGAGCGAGCGAACAGACAGAGCAAGGGAGGTCATAGCACAGTGCACTCGGCAGAAGTTACATACTCTGATTCCGATGCAAATACGACGGAGACCGCCTAGAATGCCAGTCACGCTGAGCTCTTGAGGTGGAAGGCTGTTACAGTTTATGACTCGGAACAGAAGTTGACTGGAGGACTTTCGGGATCAGCGAGTCGTACGGCGGAGTCGTCGAACGCCGCAATCGTCTGACCTGTTTTTCTTAGTTTCTATCCCCGTCTCTTTTTCCTCATGGGTGGTAATCTTACCGTTTCCCCTAGGCTTCACGTGGATTTTCCCGATTGTGGTTCTCATTCCCACCTGGTTTGGACGGTGGGGCAAGTTCGGATACGACTCCACGATTTTGAACTGCTCGATACTAGAGGTTGGTTTTGGGAAACCCGACACGCGCATTCAAGTTCTGAATGAAGCATGTATATAGTATCTGGAAACACATTCCACAGTTTGTTCCCCGACTCAGGCAGACCGAGCGGAGTCTGTCGTTGCTTTCGCCGTACATAGTTCAGGCGGGCGAATTTTTCTTTGAAGGTCAACGGGAAGTCTCCGAAGCATTTTCTATTCGTATCCGCTTTCCTGGTACCTTGCTTCACGATTATCATTTGCTACGCTCGGATTTTCTGGATTGTCCACAAGAGTAAGGTTCAGGTATGTCATTCGACCCTCGTCTTTAATACAGCGCAAGACTCTTGCATATTTTTCAGCGTGAATCATATTTCTTTGAGATGCCGTGTAGTGCCCACAATAGAGGTGTACCACGCTTGCCGTCGGTGCCCTGTTGCTACAGCCGAGGCTCCTGGGGGTGCGAGGCTCGGTCCCGGTCAGAGCGAGAGCCCGGGTTGTCGACAGACCCCGTTCTCAGGGTCGAGACCCGTCGATGCCCCGCGAGGGGGAGGGGGAAAGCTGCTGTGAAAGAGCCAGAATATTTATGAACGGCAAATAGATTCAAACCTTGACGCAGCCGGCAGTTCCCCCAGCGCCGTCTCGTTAGAAGGGAGTCTGAGCATAAGTTGATGCAGTACCGGAAGCGTTCGCCTCGTTTTCGTCCCAAGTAATATGAGCGTATTGCACACGACGCCAGAATCGAATCACGCCGAGAGATTCGTTATGCAGGTGGTTTCCTCAAATGGTGGGACTCCGCCGTGTTCATTTACACGTGCGCATGATCATATCGGGCGAAAACGACCGTCCATGCGTGTGCGTGATTCGGGAATGAGGAGCGTTTTTTTTACCGACTCGCATTCGGGAACGAAATGGGGAAATTATCCGATCGGAGAGTTTTCCTTGCTCCCCCCCCCCAATGCAACCGTTCAATCGACTTGTTATAGATGAGTGCTCATGCCCGAACATCCGAGCAGCAGAAGGAGCGTGAGGCCAAGCGGAAAATGGAGGAATGGAGGGTCACTCGGATGGTTTTGGTGATCTTCTGCTCGTTCCTTGTCTGCTACTTGCCAATCACTCTGGTCAAGGTGAGAATTGTCTCCATACCTCCAGCGCGAGACGTCGCGCTTCGGTCGCCGTCGTTCCGTCCTATCGGGACGAAAATGTCACTCTACCTAGACAAAGCCTCGGCGCCGAGCGACGTGCGTAGGAATATCGGAAATATTGAAAGCTCGGTAGACCGAGAGGATTCCAAATTAAAGCGTGCGACAAGGACATGCCTCAGTTGAGCCTCTTTCCAGGTCGCCGATCGCAGGGTTCGCCACCCGGGAGTTCACCTGTTGGCCTACACTCTCGTTTACTTGAGTGCTTGCATCAACCCGATCATATACGGAATCACAAATCAACAATATAGAGACGTACGTCACAGCGATTGCGCGTGCAAATATTGCGAGACGACCGAGTGCCCGGATCGGAGAGTCTCAACTACAGAACAGCCGATTGCGAGCAAGACTGATTGACCTGTTGCTTTTTGCCGTATTCGTGCTCATTCGTCGAAACTGTCATTCGAGCTTCATGCTTACGACGGAGGAACGGTCCCGTGGTGATCCTATGAATAATTCCTCCGCATACCGCTGTTAGGCCGAAACAGAACTCTATTTCATATTCATTATTATCTATGTATATGCGCACAGCCAACATCAACTATCAGAGGGGATGCCGTGGACGGAATTCGTTCTCAAGCGAAACGTCATAGCGGAACCTTGCGGTCGATCGGGACCTCGATGTTGACAAATCCCGGCTTAGACTTCGACAGCAATTATCCCTTCCAGGCGTACAAGTTCACGATCTCACGGCTGTGCTCTGGAGTGTTGCACAAGTTCTCCGGCTGCAGTCAATGCACGACTTGTTGCATCGAGACAACTCAGGGCGAGCATCCGAGCGACGAAGACGAGGACGACGTCGAATCACCAAAGGTTCGACTTACCTCATTGGATGTACTTCAAGTCGTTGATCGTATACTCGGGGATTATTCGCGGTTTCCAGCGGAAGGCTATCGGATTCATTCGTTTCGATATGCACCTCGTCGCTCGAGGAGGGATGAGTTCAGTTGAATGAGAATCTCATCAATTTTCAGCCCGGTCACACGATCACAAGCTCTGTGTCAATCCAGTGCCCTTCGACAGATAATCTCAAGGATTTGGCAGAAGCCTCCGAAGCACCGTCGCCGCCGGTCGAAGATGAGTCTCCGGGGCGATTGATTCGAGATTCAGCGACGGCCGAATGCTGATAATCCATAATTACGGGAGCTGGCATGTGAACTCCAGGAGGTGTTCTTGGAATTTCCTTCTGTCGATAGCTCGAGTGAAGATCATGAACATAACGAAATACAACTTCTTAAGAGTTAACGATATCCGAGGATTCTTACCGCTCGTGGCATGTTTTAGGACTTCGAAAACCAATCGAATATGTGGTTCTCTCGACCCTGACGCTCTGAATGTGTTCTCGAGTGAGGGAAAAGAACCGATTGCTCACAATCTGCTCGTTCCGGGGACAAAAGGGTTCGAACCGCGCGAGCGCTCCATAGATAAAGGCAGTGGATGGCCGAGGATGAATATCGAATTCACCCGGCTGACCAATCGGCGTTCGAAGGAGAGCTCGGCAGGATGCACAACGAGCTCGAAATCCATTTCTCCCCCATCTAGAATCTGTAGAGCCGGCCTGGTCTGAATCAGCTGACGCGGCGGAAGCTCATCTTCAAAACACGTATGGGATATCACCGTCGGTTATTGCACTCGTCATTTATTCGACTTGTCTCATCGGTCTACGTCATCTCGAGAAAGTAAAGCGTAAGCGTAGTGAGCGCGTGAGGAACTTCGAACAGAGCGGATCCTCCTTGAACGAGGATGATCTCACTGTACTAGATCGAAACTTCCGGGAGGAGCTTCCTCTTCCGATTGAAGCTATCTGGCTGAGCTTCAATTCACAGAAGGTCGAAGTGTTCCAAACACTTTCGGAACTTAGGCAGGAGCTCAACGTAGACATTGGCCTTCTGAGGTACGGCCACTAGCTGCGAAAGCGGTTCGATAGAAGCTGCTCCTTCGATACATCGCTGCGCCAGTATGGCTCCTCCTAAAGCTGCTGAGTTGGCCACCGTCAGACTGTATACTTTGAGGTCGAATACATCTGCGAGAATTTGGCACAAGGCTGCGTTCGCCGAAGCACCACCCGTCACCAACAACCGGCTCGAAGCTTCTAGCTTAAAGCCGACTCGCTCCGCGTAGATCCGTTTGCTCATGAATTGTCCTGGGGAGGAGCGAGGGATGTCATTATGGATTAAGTCAGAGAAAAAATCTCAGAGCTGGTAGGTTAGGTCAAAATGTATGATTTCGCCCGGAATATTGCTGAGAGGGCGGAGGGTGGTGTTGGAACTGGCCTTCAATCAGCGCCCGGATTTCCCCGGCGTTGTCGAAAGGGCTGTGAACTTGGACCGGAGTTCGCCCGCAAAGGTCAAATCGCAAGCGTCCTTGACGGGGTGGCAGAATTTCCATGAAGTCGAAATACACTCCAACCCTGCCGTTATTACCCGCCGGCGTGGAATCCAGAAGAGCATTGAAGACTTGCCAATCTCCTGCGGGGGAGAGGTTCGGGGGGGATGAGGAAACAAGGGTTTAAGGGTCGGAACGGGTCTATTCCATCTGCTTGAATAATTTCTGTCGCCATGAGAACTTTCGAGCCCGAAAGGAAGATAATTGGGAGGACTGACCCCCGGCACATTCTTCAGCGATTCTGTCGCGCATCAAGCTCCCATTCTTGAAGCACAGCATCCCCATCAGATATTCGGGATCGATCGGATTCGCCAAAAGATGCCCTTGGAGCAAGGGAGGGGTACTCTTGTCAACCCAGAGCAGCAGCGTATCGGAGCTCCCTAAGCTGATGACGATGTCTCCTTTCGAAACTCCCATGCCAACGAAGGAGGCTGGATTGTCTCCTGTGGATAGATACGGCAATTAAGCTCGAGAAACCTGTCTCCTCAATCGACCCTCATTTATCAAAATTTTCGGAGACGTAGCCATGAGAACGGTCAACCCACCTGAGAACGCCGACACGCGGCACTCCGGGCTGAAACCGAACCTCGAACAAATCGTCGAACACACTCCCCCGAGGTCCGCACCAGGTGCTACAAGACCCCTGTCTCCCCCTAATTTATTAAAGAGCTCTTCCGCTCTGTCCGGAGAGAGGCATCCATCCAAACACTTCTGACTCCAGGTATTCGTACGGATATTCATCAGGTTCATGCCCGAGCCGTCGCTAAAGTCGATTGGAGCGACCTCCCCTGGGGAAGAGTAATTCCTGAATTGCCGACCAAAGTCCTCGAGTCGGGGCTCTCGGATCTCTCTCCCGCTGCTCTGGATTAATTGATGAGGATTATCAATTATCTGCTATGAATCGATCTGGAGCCCCTACTCTTGAATGATACGGAAGGGCGAGGGAAGGGGGAACCCGATATTTTTTTCTCAACTCACCCAAGAACAGACTGGGTATGAAGCTGGAGACTAAAGAAATCCGCGCCGTTTCCTCGTAATCCTCGGTCATCTCCGTCGCTATTTTCGCGATTTGATTCCCACTGAATCGCTCGTAGGCCCTCGACCCGGTGAGATGGGCCAGTTCTAGAGCCCCTCCGACGTGAGCTTCGAGCTTCAAGCATTGCGCAGTCGTAGAAGAGTCCATCCAAATCGGAGACAGCTCGATGGAAAATGCGTTTCGCAAGTTGTCTTCAAGGGACCTCTCGAACGGAAAGACTCATTGTCAGATCTTCATCCACGAAGAATCCCGAGTCCGCCCCCGCTCTTGGTGGTCTCATTCCTTCCCCATATAGGATCGACAATGAAAGAGAGATATTGACTCACTTGCTCGGGTCCATCCGGTGCAACAAACTCGGGTCTCGCCAAAAAACAGTTCCGTGCTGCTGACCGCATCCTCCGATGCATCTTATCTTGTGAAGATCGATTTTCTTGCTGAGGCTTGGGCAGGTCAGGAAATGAAGTCAGTCTCAGGTAGGGAAGGGCGCCCACGCTGCCGAAGGAGAGTATCGAGCAGAGATGGGACCATGGAGCATGCCAAACCGAATACCAGCAGATTCCGTACCTCTCGAGAATCATGTCCACGGCGCGTAGCCACATCTTGACAGGGGCTCTCGCACGATTCCCGTCGACGATAGCGCCAGAGGTTGTCCCAAAATTCAAGTCGTCAAACACGACTCGATCTTCACAGACTATGCGATAGTTTGATTCAGAGCCTGAGGGTTCTGAGCAAACAACGATACCCTTCAACTGTTGTGTGCTCAAGTCCAAACCTAGGTAGCATGCCATCCCAGCTGTCGGAGGAAACCTGTGCTCGAAAAACCAGTTTATCCGATGAGCAATATTGATAATTCAGACAGAGCAATGTAAACCATTCTGCCGGAGTTATCGCTCGATCTTCCCTCTGTTCCATCCAGAGAGTCGTCCCCTAGGTGAGATCCGTGAACATCGTTGTACTGAATTCGGCTTAGAAACTTGGCGCCTGCACTCTTCACATGCAGCCATAGGTTTTCGACAGCGGAACGATCGCTTCTTCCGACCTACTCGTGTCCCAGAATCACAGACTGAGGAGAACCGGCCAATAAACCCCTGGACGGTAGTCGTTGGATTCACTCGGAGCGATGCTCAGCGTCCTGGTCGATGGCCACTAGAGCTCGTCCGACATGTATGCTCTCGACTACGGAGCTGCGGACTTTCCAATGGCTATCCCCGACTTAATCTCCGAGTAGTAAGTTGGTCTCCTCAAGATCCACAGACAAATATGGTCCCCAGCTTGGGAATTCTCGGGGCTTTCATAGTTTTCCCGCTATCACACAAGATCTCATCGACTTCACGGGCTAGGGAGAGCTCACTTACATAGAAGCGACCACACTTCGAAGACGTTTCGGGGCAGCGCGGCGGACGGTCTCTGCGAGGCTTTTATCAGCATGCTCCAATACTGCTCCTCGGTGATACCGCTCGCCTTCATGCCACGTGCGCTCTCAGGAGGCCCAATTGCGCTCTCGGGCGGGGTCACGACATCGAGTTGTCGAAATTAAAGGAATGTCCGCGGTCCATCGGGAGTCTTGGTACAGGCTGTCGCTCTTCCGAAAGCTCAATCCTTATCCGCTTGTCAGTTTTGAATTTGCCGCCGAATGTCGTCTATTGTCTCCAGCCCCCGCGCGATGTTTACAAACACGAGGCCACCATTCAATTCTCTCGGTAGAGCTCGACAACCGGCGGTTTCGAACCACCGGAACGAAAGACTGACACCGTTGCTCGTAGTCTTCCGAATCGGAGCGCTGCGCAACTCTGGTGATGAAATATCCGTGAAAGTTCGCACGTCCACGTGAGATCGGCGGGCATGGTTGCGCTCCCGAGTCGGAAGCAAGAGCTTTGTAGTTAGCGGGAAAACTAGACAGAATCGATCCCTGAGCATCTGGGAACCGGTGTCGATGTCGGAAAAAATGCGAGCGAAGCCGTCAATGACCTCATCGGCGACATCATCGTCGATTTCAGATCATGACGAAACTTCGCACGATAACGTGAGTTCCAGACTCGGTCTGGTAAGTGAAAACTCTCTTTTTTTTAAGGATAAACTGCCACGATAGAAAATAGACATTGGGAGGAGGATTTCGCGTGATTTCGCTCGATACTGCCTATCGCGCAGCATGTCCCTCCTTCTCATCAGCGAGAAACAATGACGTGAGTCTGACACCCGGAGATATTCCCCAGGACGACTCGAGCTTGGGATCCTTCAGCGACGTTGGCGCCAAACGCTTCCGTGGATTCCTACCACCATTCAAATACACCTCCCATGGCAAAGAAGATCACGAGAAGGCTCTATTCGCCGTGCAGTTCAATCCTCATGTGGAAGATCGAGACATATTTGCCACCTGCGGAACGAATAAGGTAGATACCCCACACAATTCACGGATATTGAGGGAAATAGTGGAAGGAGAGTCGATCTGTGGCTCAACGCAATCCGTACATTCAGGTGTCCGTCTACGAAGCCATTCCAGGCTCTATGAAGCTTCTACAGTCGTACGCAGATCCTGAACCCGACGAAACATATTACACTTGCGCCTGGACCTACGACGAAACCGGCGAACCTCTGCTCGCAGTGGCCGGTTTTCGAGGCATTATCCGCGTCATAAACACCCACCGCATGGACACCGTGCAGCATTATGTCGGTAAGGCATATACCACAGCTCCCGGGTTTCGTCTTGATGCCTCTGATTCTCCTCTCGGAACATTCACGGCTGTTCTTCTCACGGCGGCCCCCCCCCTCAATAAACGCACGGAGGCTACAGCTCTCGCACGATTTCCGCAGGTCATGGGAACGCCATCAACGAGATAAAAGTTCATCCCCGGGATCATCATCTCCTGCTCTCGGTCAGTAAAGATCACACGCTTCGACTATGGAATCTGAAGACCGAGCAGTGCGTCGTCATATTCGGCGGAGTTGAAGGCCATCGAGACGAGGTGCTCAGTGCCGACTTCGATCTTACCGGAGAACGTGTAAGCATGGTTCGCGCATGAACTCGAATGGGGATTTTCAACCCATGCGACTCATCTCACAGCAAGAATGGGATAAGATGCTCATCGGCGTTCATGTTCCCTTCCAGATCGTCTCCTGTGGCATGGATCATTCGCTGAAGATATGGCGACTCGACCACTCGGTAATTCAGAAGGGAATCCACGACTCCTACTTGTACCAGCCCCAGAAGCACACTCGAGCGTTTCCGACTGTCAATCAGAATTTCCCTGATTTCACCACGAGGGATATCCACCAGAATTATGTGGATTGTGTTCGATGGCTCGGGAACCTCATCTTGAGCAAGGTGAGTACGTTCAACTTCCCGAGTATTCGCTCATTCCTGAGATTCGATTCAATGCGTTATACTCACGCTGGATTCCTTCACAGTCTACCGAGCATGTAATCGTGTGTTGGAAGCCCGGTTACATCGAGCAACGAGCGATTAAAACAACGGACTCCACGGTGACGATCCTACACCAGTTCCACTATAAAGATTCACGTTTCTGGTTTCTTCGTTTCGGACTGGATCGAGAGCAGCGGCAACTGTCCGTGGGGAACGAGACCGGAAAGACCTATGTTTGGGAAATCGACGTGGAGGATCCGGCAACTAGCAAGTACGTATCCGGAACAATGGGGCTTGGCCGGATAGATCAATCGGTGGACGTGAAACTCAGATCGACCAGTCTATCGACATCGGATATTTTCTGCAGGATCCCTCTTTCCATTGACGCATGTTCCTTCTCTCCTCAGATGCAGTACCCTGTCGCATCCAAAATGCACAACCATAGTCCGACAAACCTCGTTCAATAATAGAGGTGACATGATCATTTGCGTATGTGACGATGCCACTCTCTGGCGCTGGGACCGGATGCCAGTGAAGTCTGACGACACGAAATGAAGCATCGATCTGGAAAATCCGCGGGAGAAACGAGGAGGCGTTGGAGAAAAATACGCACGTGCTCAACACAGAGTGTTGGCATATAAACGCCAATTATCGTAATCGAAAGCAGGGAATCGCCCGGGACCGAGATTCATATCTCGTAAGCGTAGCATGATCGATCGAGCCGGGAGTCCTGTCTGGGGCGAGGAACTGCTGAGATTTGTAAATAACATAAAAGAAGAATTCAGCATTTTATATCGGACATGGATCACAGTGTTCCGGATCGTTAGTGGTCGTATTAGTTCTCTCAGCAGATCCAGTTTCCGTGAACTGGTTCCCGGATATGGAATTCCTGAGAGCTTCAAATGAGTGTCCGTTGACGATCCGGCTCTTGGAGCCGAGAATGCTCCATCTGTTGCCTGACGCTCCGCTGACCCACAAGCATGCGAAATAAACTTGAGCGCTTCCCCAGGAATCTCAGTCTTCTCTTTATTGTACATACGTATTCTAAGATGGAACCAACCCTGAATGGTTGGACCGTTTCGCCTATATACAAAACGTAAGCGATTGCAGACGGCGATTATTATATCCATATAATGCGAAGCGAGCAGATAAGCGCGCCAAAACTCAGAGCGTAATCACATGATCAGACAGCGGCAAGCTCACCGCGCTTGAAATAATTGTTGCAATGATATCCACACCCAGGAAATTCATGGTTCACTTGGGAGGCATGATCGAGGCTGATGCTATGTCCGTCATCTTCGGATACTTGACTTTCTTCTTATCGAGCTCGTCCTGCGCCCAGAGGAGCATATGCAGAGCGACAACAAGCGACGAAACCGTGGATTCAGCCCCATCCTGCTCCAAGATAGCGGCGTTGACGTCCGAGGCAACCTTTTGCCGATGAGAGACATGCAGAAGATCTCCGAACGGGGAGTTGGCTGGATTGTCGAAAGCTAGCAGAGCTAGGGTCCGTTCTAATTCGGTCAGAATGTCCGAATTGCCCTCGACCCGATAAGCCAATTCCTTCTGGGCGAAGCTGAGCACTTCTTCCACTCGCTTCTCCCGAATGAGTTCGATTAGGTGTTGTTGCTGCATCTTGAACAGGAGCAGCGGATCATTCTGTAGCATCTGAGGATGCAATTGGTCGACTAGATCTTTCGCAACCATGATCTTCCCCTCGTGGATCGCGTCTCGAATTTTGATTCTCTGCTCAAGTGAAGCCGAGATTTCGGTTCCCGCCAGGGGAAGGCCACTCTCTTTGCTGAATTTCTCAGCGGCGTCCTTGAATCCTTCGGTGACCAAGTAGTTCATGATTATTTTCGAACCTCCCATGCGAGGAATCCTCGTCTTATCCACATTCTCGAGCCAGTCCTTGAGTTTCGGAACATCCTGGAAAAAGGGTGAATTCGTGAATGAACTCTCAGAGTTTCAGCCCCCGGCGATTCTCAGTGCTCGACTATCGGCATCGGGATAATTGGTGCAAGACAAGCTGGCGATTTCACCATCGCTCCGGCATATTCTCCTCCCATTATTCTCGGATAGATCAGCTGTTGTTCACTCGGCACGCATTTGCGGGCGCTCATCGCGGCCATCGCAAACGACCCCCGACAGAGTACTCTGCGGGGATTCCCCGGAAACCGTTTGGGAGTCTCGACTAATGCTTTTCACGTTTCAGGATGGGGAGACTCCTCATGGAACGCTGTCAAGTGGCAGAGCTCAAGCACAGCTCGGTCAAGTCGATGATTGAAGCCATTGCTGGCACTCACTTTAACCTTAGGGGGACCGACGGCGACAGCCAGACTGTGGGAACTCATATCAGCTGCAGCTCCTCAATATGCTCTTGCCCGAAGTTTCCTTTCTGTTCGATGGAGGGAGCGATCGCGGACGGAGTCACTCAGTCAGAAGCCGAGGTTCCCGGATGACGAGAGTGGTTCTTTCGCGTATGAGAAACCACCACGAATCCGAGAGAGTTGTAGTAATCGGCCCCAGGCACCACACAGAGAGTCGCAGCAGCAGCGAAAACACACAGAGACGCTCGCTGCCCTCCCCCTCTCATCATCACCATCGCGTCTGTCTGCTGTCTGTTTGTTGTTCGCGGTTCGCGGTCTGGTCTGTGTTTATTTTCGCGGGTAACTTCGCGGTATCGTTCAACCCGTCGGTGAGCAGAAGAAAAATAGTCTAAGGGGGAACGCGGACCGCCATTTTCAGATTCAAAGGAAAAATGTTCACTACGGTGGTCCGGAACGGGGATTCCGGCTCTGTTGTCCCAACATCTCCGAGACCGAAATCCGCCTGCCCCGAGATCTACTAGTCCGAGTATTGACGAGCTCAGAACACTTCCGCTCTTTAGTGGTCGGAATCTACCGTGCGGAGCGGCGTTTGTATATGTGTGATTGTGGAGCAGCAGCGTTTGATTTTCAAAACTTATCACGAGTCCGGCCTCTTCACTTGTGTGTTTCTCTAGCCCGAGACGAGCCTGCGATCGGCCGACGAGGATGTACGGCGGTGACGGTCAACAGTACGGAGGCTATGTAAGTAACGCCTTATTGGATACACCGCTTCATAGGCGGCATTTCGCGTTTTCCACGAGTCCGAGCCGGAAAAATGCGAAATTCTGTTTTCGGGATACACGGGCGCCGAAGCAACTCTGAGCCAAATCGAAGCTCAGACCTGCATTCGGACGAGAAACAAAAATCCGCTCGGAGAAGGCTCTAAAAATCGTGAAGCAATTTAGTTTGGATCCTCGAGCTATGATATAGCTTCGGATAGTCTTCCTCATTGTTCGAACTACAGTTCAGCCATGACGCGCGAAAATTCGGAACCGCTATAGCGTACGTCCTCACGATCGTCGAGTTCGCGAACGAGCTCATGAATGTATATTCCGTCAACTCCAAGACTTTCGCGGGCGAAACGAGAATCGTGACAGGACGCTCGACTATTCTTCTCTAGTTCAAGAACACACCTCGGCACTAATTAAGATCGAGTTATTGGCTATTCGCGTTTCGCGCGGTCAGACATCGCAATCTGTGACCTGAAGCAGCAAATATCCACAGGAACCATGGCTGCAGCTTGTCTCTGAATAATAATATTGGTATTCCTATGGCGAGATTGGTTCTCCCCGCGTTGTCGAGCGGTGAGAGTTCCGCTTAGTAGCGGTGGAATGCCAGACGCGATCTTGTCCGATCCTGTCGACTGCGACTCGCGCTAAAACAGCTTTAATAGAGTCGTTCACGAATCTGCCGCGTTATGTTTTCCGGGAAATGACCGATCGAATGTACAGAAGACAAAATTTGGTAGCCAGTTACACTAAGCCCTGGCAGCAGGTGAGTATACCGTCCATGAACCAACACATCGGTGTTCTGTGCATTTTAGGGAAGCCAGGGCGGCCGAGGAGGTACGTGTTCTGTCAATACACGGTCAGGGGTGTATCATCATAGATGAGTTTTTCTCTGAAAGTCCGCTCGGGACACAACAGGTTTGCTATAGACTCTCTCGAGCATCCAGGCCATGAGATCGTCATAAAAATTTGCTCTCAATGCTCGTCTGTTTTTCGGTTTATGAGAGAATCCCAAATCTTTCCAACCTAAAATTCGAACGAAAAGGATCAATTCATATCCGAAGTACTATGCTTGTTCCGGCGAAACTTTGAGGGATTTCTTTCGCATCGAGACAACACGCCCCGAACTGTTCCGATGGAGATATACTCCTCGGTACCAGCTTCCGCTGTGCGTGAACTTGTTCTCGCGAATTGACCATGGCCTGTTTTGCGCGTGAGAAATGTCTCCCGTACAGATTTCCAACGCTCATGAACTTGAACCCAAGTTAGCATTCGTTGGAGGTGATTCAGGTTTTGAGGTAAGCCTCGCCAGGTACGTGAAATGATTTTCCTATCGGGGATTACGAACGCAGCGAAAGAACAAGGACCAAGCTTCGACCTGAGTCTACATCACGTCTTCATCGTACATAATGCCTGCCGGAGTCCTCCGCGAGAGGGCATCTGGCTCGACTCGTCATGCGTTTCTTCTATTCGGAAACGTTTCCACTGGATGCTTCCTCCATGTTTCAAACCTCGGATACATATCTCAGTTCTGACTCAGTTACCTTTCTAGGTTCCGGAGGTTATGGCGGCGGTGGCGGCGGCGGTTACGGAGGCCGCGGGAACGACAGACGATCATCGGGTTATGACCGTCGTGACGATGGCGGGTGAGCATCTCTGGAGAGCCTACTCATCCCTCGAGAGAGAAGATAGCCCTGACCGAGAACGATCGGACACCGAGCGCTGGAGGTTTCATCGTTTCATTGAATTTTTTGCAGACGAGGAGGCGGGAGAGACAGTTACGGTGGCGGCGGGGGAGGTGGTCGAGGGAGCTATGGCGATCGTCGCGGCGGAGACTTCAGATCTGGAGGTGGATTCGGGGACGGTGGTTTTGGCGGAACACAAGAACACGATATGCCAGACACCATTTTCATTACGGGCATGCCAGAAGAGGTGACCGAAGAGCAAATCGAAGAGCACTTCGGTGCCATCGGAATAATCAAAACCGACAAGAAAACCAGAAAGAAGAAAATCTGGATTTACAAGGTACGACACCGAAGCCACCACAATGGCTTCCGAGGTTAATCCAGGCCACCGTCGAATAAAATGAACGCTACGATTCCTGAGATGGATATCCCATATTTTCCAGGACAAGGAGTCCGGCAAGGGGAAAGGAGAAGCCACAGTTACCTATGACGACCCGCCGACCGCGTCGTCAGCGATCTCCTGGTTCGACAACAAAGAATTCATGGGTCAAACCATCAAGGTACAAGTTGCTCAAAGAAAATCGACCTGGGTTCCGCCCCAGAAAGGTGGCAGAGGTCGAGGTCGCGGTGGAGGCGGCGGTGGCGGCTTCCGTGGAGGGGACGATCGAGGGGGAGGAGGAGGCGGTCGGGAGGGCGACTGGCCGTGCGACTCTTGTGGTAAGCTCCTGCTGGAGACGCTCGGTGATGAGCATACGAAAGGATGTGGTGAAGATGATGAGTTGATGAGGCTCGTCCGATGTCGCTCTGGATCGAAATCATTAATTTCTCAGGGAACAAGAACTTCGGCTGGAGAAACAGCTGCAACCGTTGCGATACCCCCAAGCCCGGAGGCGGAGGCGGCGGTGACGGTGGCCGAGGAGGAGGTGGCGGACGGGATCGTGGAGACCGCGGCGGAGGTGGCGGTTACAACAGACATCGCCCGTATTAATTCCGAATTCGGAGCATTTCCCCATCATTCATGCGAAAGAAGAAGCACCCGAGTGTCACCGTCATTATCACTGAATAAAATACTGCTTGAGGCACGGAAGTATCGAAAGGATCGTTCATATTCAGAGTCATTCGGGGCTGTGCATGAGGGTTGTTTTCAGGCGTACACCGTATCGATCGAGTACCCGATCAGTTGATCGCTTATTGATCGCTTGTGCCGTTACCTCGATAAATGGCGATCGCAAATTAGAACGATGCTTTTCCCAAAGACGGCTCGATGAGAAGCGGAGCTTAGGAGAAAAGATCGAGACGTTATCCACGACTTGTTTTCGACTCTTTGTTGGCGAGAAGGGTGGCTTTACGAAATCACTGCAGCGACGGTCAGTGAGACGGATAGAGATCGAGGGAAAGTTCTTAGGAATACTCTTCCGATCCGGAATGATTTCGTGGTATATTCCCTTCTCTGCCCTCGTGCTCTTCTGTGCCTCTTCGGAAACGAGCGGATCTCGTATTCCGAGACCATTCCTCGAAAGCGTTCCCTCAAATCGAATTCTGCACCGTTCGAGTCGCTCCGAAAACTACACCTGCAGGGGTGAGTCCCCATACGTTCCTGATTAGTATCCTCACGCTGCGTCCATTTCCGGGAATCCACTGCCCGATGTCAGACTGTCAATCGATTATCTCTTGTTAGAAAGACGGGTATCGAGGGCTCAGCGGTCGCGCCCAAAGTTTCCCGCTGTCTTCGGGAGGACAATATCCGAGGTCCGTTGTTTCTCAATCCTCCCTGATAGGAGAGGAGGCTCTCCTCGGGGGCAGGAGCTCCAGCGTAGCAGATTAAGACATGTCAAACTAACGCTTGCTCTGTCCGGTTCCGATTCATAGATGGATACTCTGATTTGCATCAAACACCCACAATGGCGTTTTCGGCGAGTATCGACGCAAGACGAACTTCCGAGCCAGTCGGGGGTTTTCGACAGCTGCAGTGCTTGAACTGTCGGGAATTCGGAGCACCAGAATCGGCGACGTGTACCAACGACAGTCAGTAATCCAAAGCTTCGTGATCGGAGTCGCTGCAAGAGAGCATTCTAATGCTTCTATCTCAAACGAACACGGGATTCAGCCCTAATGCTTCCTGAGTCCCTCCACAGGGTACGGAGAAGCTGAAGTGTCTTACCCCCAATGGACGTGTAAAGCTGAATTCCGAATGAGGAACATACAGATATATCTCTTCGACATGGACTGCACGGTCGACCGTGCATCTTTCTTTCAGAACTGCGTGAAGAAGGGTCTGTACACCCATCGGGGCTTCTGACTATAAATGTGATTCATGGGAGCCGCATAGATGCTTCACCGGACTCATGAGACGACGCGAACTCCGGAGGCCCTACCTGATGTATAACCCACATTTCTCATTTGCAGACTCATGTATCCTCCGGATCACGGCTGCGCCGGGATACATGCTGGGTCATATATTGGCTGTGACGGTTCTCCTCGCCGTACTAGGCATCCTCATTTACTTCGGAATCAGATATTTCATCGACGATATCAAGAGACGGAGATACGAGAAAAACGCTCAGCCAGGCTGCGCCTCCCTCTTCCGGAAGTCTTTCTCCAAAGTTGAAGCCGACCTTGACCCATCCAATCGCACGGCTTCCGTCGGCGACCGCGAAGCTTCCAGCCCAGTAGATGGTGTACTCCCGTTCAGAGATGATCCCGTTGACTCGACCGACTCGAGAAAAAGTGCTGGCGAGATATCACGCAGCGAACTGGAAAACCCAAGATCTATCCCTCTCTCCCCAGGTGTGCGGTTCTCAATCAGAGGTGCTCAACACGGGAAATCCAGAGAATAACCCAGAGATCTTTAACCCAACGGTGAGGTCGGTGGACTTTTCCCGAGGATCGTTTATGTATGTGACCGCGGAGGATCATCACGTGCGAACACCTCGATCCTCTTGTTCTCCTTCTGGGCGAGACATTCCCCTGGGATCAATTTAATAAAATCCATCCATATGAGGAAATCTCGCTTATCTCGTCCCCGCTCCTCACTCTCCTTCGGTCCGAGCGGACGGGCAGCAGCGCTCACGCGACTGCCCCAAATCGGTTTCGGAGGTATAGATGAATCGGCTGCGCTACAGCTCACTCCGGCATTATTCTAGTCTGGAGATTCTGCTCTGAGAATTCGTTTGATCATTCGTATCACATCAGCACGAGAATCAATTAGATAAAACTCTGTGGCTCCCGAAGCTCCCTCTACTCTCCTAGCGGGATCACACGGCTGATTCCGGTATCGACCAACCAGATTCGAAGGGTTTGCTGGACTACCTCCACCCATGGGACGGAAGATCTATTGTCATGAACCTCGTCTGCTGATAAGCCACTCCAATCCTGTGGAAAAGGAATCTCCGATAGATAAGCGAGATAGGTTGGCAGCACTTACTTTCGGGAGGATAGCTGGCGCGGGCTGTCCTTAGATCTGCAGGTCTGGGCCTTGGTCGAGTTGGCCATAACTACTAACAACGCCACTCATGGGACACTCCACGAGATTTCCATTGTGGGCTACCCATCTCTAGCGAACCACTACAAGGAACGAGCCCCTAAACTTTATCAGGAAGCACTCTGTTACCAGTGATGGGAAACTTCACTTGGGAGAGACATGCCCACACTTGGAATTCCACCTAAAACTGTTAAGTGTTTCGATGGATTCAGATGGCAAGCATGGCGAGCCTCATTGACCTGCTATCGTACATCGTACCCTGCGAAACTTCAAAAGCCTCGATGACTCGGCCTGGCGCCGCAGCTGATCGCGGATTGTAGCCTCGCGGAACTCGCGTCTTCCCACAAACTTCCATCGGAATCCATCAGCGCGGCCGAAACTTAGTAGAGAATGCCAACTGCGCACTTGCTTTCGTCACAGGCGGGTAGGTATCCTGAATCCTATGACGCATGATAGGTGCCTGTCCCATGAGTGGTAATTTCACGTACCCACAAACTCTTCCGAACCGCGTCCGGAAGCAATTGAGGGGAGAAAGACTTTGAACTTCGGAGGCGTAGTTAAGCCTGGACGGTATTGACTGACTCAGTGGAGATAGGAGCGTGACTACCATAGCATTACCAGGCATGGGGACGACCCGTGGAGCGAGGAAGAATGAGACGATGAATGACTAGGACTAGAGTATGATACCTGCCCCAAGGCATCTCTTTTCGGCGAAGTGTCAGTCTACTCCGCTTCACATGCAGATAGTCGCATGGGAACTCATTTGAATCGTTTATTTTCGAAACATCGTAACTCCACTCTGGAAAAACACCCAAAAACAATCTTCCCCCTGTAGTTTATCCCACAGGATACCGATCCTGGCTTGTGGGGCCATTTTCGAGAGCTCTTGGTGAGAGCTTTCAGAAAAGAAATATAACACCGCCCTCCCTCTCCTTCTGTGGCTACACGCGGAGAAATGAGTCGTTGGAGTTACGATGTTTTGAAAATAAACTTTTTTTCAAAACTCAGGAATCTTTATCTCGCCGTAAAAACGTCCAGGATCATCGTAGGAGGCTGTTTTTTTTCAAAATGTAGCCCAGGTCCTCAGCTTTCCAACGAGGCGCCGCACGACCCTATAGCTCCATTCAATCAAAAGTTACGGGCGTTTTAAGAATGGGCCAATCCCCATAGATCTAACATTGACTCGGAATTTTCCAGGTTGGGTTTTTCCCTTCCCTCAAAAACATTGTAGGAACGTCCAGAATCATCGTAGGAGGCTGTTTTTCCTCCAAAATGTAGCCCAGGTCCTCAGCTTTCCAACGAGGCGCCGCACGACCCCAAAGCTCCATTCAATCAAAAGTTACGGGCGTTTTAAGAATGCACCAATCCCCATAGACTTAACATTGATTCAAACGCCAATGATTTTTTCTCGAATGGCGGGTGATTGGAAATGCCATCGCGAGGCGCGCATTGGGGGAACCGAAAGGCATGGATACCCGACCGACTTTCGCAGCGGAGATGCTTGATGCTTGATGCTCGGGGATCACATTCCTGCTGGCCAAGACGGCTGTGCCCCTGGCACTCCCTACGACATCTTTATATGGAGAGAGAGGGGTGTCCATCAAAGAACAAAAACTTGCGGACATTCAGAGCCTTCGCAAGTACATCCCAGAGCCATACCGGGAGTCCTACGTTGAACTCGCATCCAGAGCCGACCTGGACTTGGGTGAGGATTCGGAGTATGATTCCGAGGGCTAAATGTATAAACTTCAGTTTTCCTCATTGATTGGTGCGTTCTTTCTCTCATTCGATCCATTCTCATCTTCAGTATACATATTCTCCTACAGCGTGATGGGAGGTCACTTTGCAGATCGGAGGTCAATGTTAAGTCTACGGGGATAGGTCCATTCTAAAAAAAAAAAAATTCAGAGGTAGCAGCAGAGCCACTACCGTGTAGAGGACGTGAAACGTCTTCGGAATGGCCATTCGTAAGACTCGAGCATCGTTATTATTTCTTCAAACTCAGCTCCTACCCGAGCGCAATGGAAATCTACGATCGCATAGGTAAGCAAGGGTGGGTCGCTGACATCGGGAGTCACCTCCATCGGATTGACTAGCGCATCAGAGCCCATATTTCTTTGATTCGTATGTGATCTCGCATTGCTGTGGGACTGGCTCACCGTATTCAGTCGACGCGCCCGCCATTGCGCTGTCCTTTCAGCACCCGTACGAGGCCGTTTACAATCACTCGGTAGTTTTAGTCCGTGAACGAGACTTCCGACGTTTGGACTGGCTCTTTTAGGTCTCATTATCACTGGTGAAATCGAACTCTCCACCGAAGTTGGGAAAATATCTTCTTCCGAGTGGAAAATATCTTCTTCTGAGTTTTGTTACGCGCGCTCTGGAAATTTGAAATCGCCCTCTCCCAAGAGCAGCCATGTTCACGGGAGAATAGGGCGTATAGGGTGTCATTCTTGCCTC